ACTAGTGTGCATACAGTACAAAACTAATTCACACATACAGAGAGGATTAGGGTCAAACGAGGGTGGGGAGGGCGAGTAAAGTTCAGCAAGAGGTTCACACAAACAGGCTGTGTGTGTGTGTGTGTGTGTGTGTGTGTGTGTGTGTGTGTGTGTGTATTGTACAGCATCGATTAAATTGGTTATACAACCTTATCCTAAAAAAAAATCTGGAATATGAGAGAACCATGTGTTTGGTTATTATATTCGTGACAGAGCAAGTAACATCCACATATGGCAACATCTGGACGGCATCAGCAAATCACCAACTTAACTAAATACTCAAATCCAGTATTTTAAATGTGAATTAAAACCTTCAATATTAATCCCCTTAGTCATGCGTGAGGCAACGCAACGTGTGTTTTCAATGTGTGCTTTTCATAAATGCTCTTTTAAGCAACTGGTTTCCCAGCTTTAAACAAGCTCACCACCCACCCCCACTGTGCTGAGTGTAAAACCTCCTTCTCACACCCAAAGATCTGCAAGTGTGCAATGCTGTAGCTATAGATTTCAACCATCCACTTGAGCTTGTGTTTCTCTCGTAAGTGGGATCGGATTGAAGAGGAGAGTAGCATGAGAAAACAGGTAAATGAAAGTGTCTCACTCAAAGCATTGAAGGATAGCAGAGAAAGGAACATTGGGAAGTAAGAAAAACAAAAGTGCTGGCAGGTAAAGATAAAAAAAGAAAGAAAGAAGGAATCATGATTGTAGCAAGTGTTTGATTAAAATTCAGCATTCCTCTGTAAATGATCAAATTCCTGCTTTCATCCGATTTAGAAGCGAGGCTGTTTATGGGCATTTTTCTTAGAATAAGAGATTGAGGTTGCAGAGCAGATTGAGCGGGGACAGATGAGTGCTCCATACTTTACCCTTCGTGCACTTTGGGGATTTCCTCATTGTTATTATGATTATTAGAGGGAAAGGATTTAAAAATGGAGCATAGAGTGCTCTTATATATGCAGCTATAGAAACAATCTGCAAAACAACATACACATTGTGTTTACTGTCCGGTTATAGCCTTTGCCCTGATCTTTTCCCTTTTCATACTGGCCATCAAAAATAAAGAATTCCATCAGAATTGAACTGTTGTTCCTTTCCATTTTAGCCTACTGTATCTACAGATTGCATGTAATGCTGTGACAAGTGGATTTGGCACCAAATTCCATCTTGTCTAGCAGGAAGACAATGTATGAAATAATTCTGCGGCTTAGACGGCGAGCTTGAGTATCCTTTTGTGCGACATAGTGAATGCAATTCATTCTTTCCCCCTTGAGTACTGTTGACTGACTGTGTTCTGTTCAGGGTGATAAGGACTTCACCCCTGCAGCTGCCCAGGTGGCCCACCAGAAGCCCCAGCCTTGTGTCCCCAAGCTGCCCTCTGTCCAGCACATCAACCAGCACATCCACCAGCCCCGCAAGTGAGCCACGCAGCAGGCTACAACGGCTACGCTAACTCCACCAGCCGGCCTTCCCCAATGGAACACATAGGATGAAGATGTTTCCCCACCAGGCACAGATCTCCTCTAAATAATCAGAGTAGTTGTTAGCCTGTTGCGTTACACGTACGAGGAATTAATCAGCAACAGACACCCAATGCCATTACAGCCATTATAGAAGTCCCACTCATTACAGCCCTGCTGCATTGGTGTTGAACTATTAGTTCTGCACTTTTGGCAGCTGTATAGTCTTAAGGAGGTAGACATGGATGGAGGGTCTTGTAATATGGCTATCACTCTAGGATTAAACATTAATGAAGAAGCTGATCTCAGATCTGAGTCTGTGGGGGGAACTCTCACCCCAAGTGATGTGCTGACCAATACCACACACCACAGCAACCAGCCAATCACAGCAACCTATCAATCAGGCCAACTAACCAACCAATCACCTCACAGTGACGAGCCCAAGCTCCAGCCTTCTACCTATGATCTCTGCAGACCAAAATAACCAATCAGCAAAATTATGAGGTGGACAGCGGTTTTACATTATCAACGCAAACCAAAAAGAGCACAGCAAGCAGCTTCTACATGGCTCACTTTCGATGTGTGTGTGCGTGTGTGTGTGTGTGTGTGTGTGTGTGTGTGTGTGTGTGTGTGTCACTTGAGACTGTTGCCAAATTGCACAAGTACAGCATGGACCAGAGTTAAAGTAGCTAACTACATGACAGCATTAACCAATTATTAGAGATATAGTCATTTATCAGCCTCCAATTGAAATTTGTAAAATATATTCTCCTCGGACGAAAGATTGGACATTTTCAATATTATAGATGGAGAAGCAGTGAGATGCAAAGCCTTACCAATTTCTGGCTGTGGCTGTCACTAACCAAGTAGCTACTTGATGCATGTTGTAAGTGTCATGTCTCAAGACAGCTAGCTACGGTTATAGCAGATGCTAATATAGCTTTTGGACCATGACAAAACTTATTTAGCTTTTACTACAGTTTCCTTCTGTGTCACTGTTCTGAGCTTTATTTGACACCAGAGTAAGTCTTACTGATCTCCGATCTGCTCTCCACTTCTGTCTGCCTTGTTGGAGCTGTCCATCCCTCCCTGGCAGTGGTAATTCATTTTAATGCAAACTCCACCTGCTCCATCGTCTCCCAGCAGTGCCTCATTCGCTTGGATTTTAAGATGTTTTTGTCTCATTTGACTTGCATGGATTTATATTTTTTCTGCTAGAGTCAACTGAAATGAAAATGCAGCCAAAAATGTAATGAAACCTAGAGAATGCCATTTACTGCAGTGTGCTTTTGTGTTTGCATTAACATTAGGAGTAATGTACTTTCATCACAAGTTGAACAAAGCATTGCAGAGAAGCAGTTCAGAAAATATTGAGGCTCTTAACTGTAAGACGAAGGTAACCGTTGCCCAAAACAGTGATTTCTACATTCCACAGAAATGTGTTTGAACAAATATGTCAACCATGTGACAGTTTGTCAGTGTACAAAGACAATACAATACATTTAATTGTACTTGCCAGGATATCTGCAAGTATGGCTTGTTGCATATCAGGAATCTGGTTCAGCCCCCAAAATCCAGATTGGCCTTTCCTTATAAATTATGCATATCAACATACACACACACAAACAACACACACCACCCTTTTCCTTAATCACCCATCCCCTTACAGTCAAATGTCATTTGTGGCAACACTAATGTTCAGGTTTCCAGGAAAGAAAGAAATTTATCTTGCCAAGAAGGAATGATTTCCTGTGTTAATTTAATTAACTTTGAAAGAGTTTTATTTTTGTTTTGCTCAGTTCTTTTTCTTGAGTAAATTGTTCAAATTGTACAAATCTTTAGTCATTGAGTGGACTTAGGTATTAGGTGTGGTTGTTATAGTAAATAAAGAAATAGACTATCTTAAAAATGCCTTTTGTTTTCCGCTTGTCTGTATTTGAATGAAGTGAGGAATGACTGGATGATATATTATCTTATGTTATCTTGAGACTTGAACATTTGCCATGTATAAACATTTTCCAGCTCAGTACTAAAGGGTGAATGACATGGTTCCAATATTTTGTACTCTGATAAAGTTCAAAGTAGTCCTACTTGATGGATTGTGACCTGTAGCTCACTCAGAGTATTTGAGCATCCCGTGGTGAATTAGCACCCTGCACTGGGGGATTAGGGCTCAGGTGGTGTTTTGAAATGAAACAGAAGCATCTCCAAGAGCTGTCCGCTGTTTTTTTTTTTTTTCCCCTCCTCTCACACACACACACACACACACACACACACACACACACACACACAGACACAGACACAACACACAGTGTGCACCAGGTGTTAGTGCATGTAATCCATCTTTACACAAGCATCTGCAACCAGGTGTTCTGTCAGTTTATGTTAGCCCAATAAACCAGCCAGCGCAGGCTTAGTTGGTACGAGCTTCTGTCAGCAAGCTGAAACACCCCATTAAAGCAGACGAAATCTCCTTGACTCTCCACGGTTGTATATAGTTCTCCCGATGTGGCAGAGCTCTCATCCCCTGCCATGCCCTATTAGACTGACTGAAAGGACAGAATGAGAGTGAGACACTGCTAAGAATGTATAAGACTGCCCTGCCCAGGAATCTCTTCCACCATGAGGAAGGTAAATTGCAAGTTTTATTCTTAAATTTAAAATAATTAAATTGTATTGCTAGTCTAGCTAGTACACATTAGGTTGGTATTTAGCACATAACACACTGCAAAGATTGGTTCACTTGTAGCTACGATCACACATACAAGAGAAGGTGCTGGTCATGATACTGCAAATTTGCTTTGAAAGACCTTTTAAATTTAATGATATTTCCTGATAGATTAAAAGGTCTATTAAATATAAAATAGTGAGTGCAGGGGTTCACTTTTCCTCATGTTTCATAATTTATGAAGCCTGTAGAGAGACGGCTTTGTTTAAGCTGGTAGACTCCATTCACTGACTGGCTCAGTGGTCTGTTGCTGCCCACAACTATCCATGAGTAACGATGTGTCAGCAGGCAAAAGAGGTCTGACTCCAAAACAAGCTTTTTTTTTCTCTTAACAGCTACACCATAAAAACAGCCAAGGTTACATTTTAAGGCACTTTACCCCCAGCACTAAGTCCTTCTCATTTAGAGGCACTTTATTACATTAGCCCTGAGTATACACCACCAGCTGTTGGACATGTGGTCCTCAAGAACATTAAGAGCTGGCTTCAGCTAGTTGAGACTGGTCATGTCTGTGAGACGGCCGTCTGAAAACTTTCCACCGGTGCTGCGGTTTACTTGGGCAACAGTGGGAGGAAAAGGTATGTTGGTCATTTAGGTCAGGACCTTTTTGGGTGCGCATAAGCCTGCAGGGGTAAAATGACAAAGTTGCAGTGACATTTGGCTCCTGCTTCACCAAACTGCTTGCTCTTCCTTTTTTCTCATTCCAAGCATCACCATACATCTTGTATTGACTGGATTCTGTGCAAAGCTAACCTATTTTCTGCAGTGTCACTGTTAAACGTCTAAGAGAAATTATTATGCGGTACTTTTTTTTTATCAAGTTTGCCGTTATCAAAACTCCTGGGAGAAGATTTTTTTGTGCAAGAGAGCTGCTCTCTACCAACTTTTCCTCACTTTTTTATCAGCGAGGGCACAGCCACTTGAGGTTCATTTTTAGTTCACACGTAGATAATTCTGATGCTGATTTAATTGTGAGACATTTTCATTTATTCATACTTTTCAGCATTTCAGAAATGGAATTCATTAGCGAGGACCTACTTTATCCTTGATTGCATCACAGTAACATTTCAAAGAACACTAAAAAAAAGAAATTGAAGTTATATAGCTCCCATACCCTGAGCTCAGGCATAGATTACATTTAGTTCTTGCTAAATCAGAGCAAATATGGAGACATTTATTGTGATCTATACTATATATTCAGCTATGGCATATATGGTATGCATTTTAAAATAATTTACATTTTATATTGACAAGTATGCTTAGTGACAGTGTAATCTTCCACATCGTATGGTCCATCAAGATGCAATACGTAAAAATGTGAATTTTATTACATTTAAAACATAATTGTTGCACATAATTACTTAAGTAAAGCTTTGATTAAAGAGCATGTAAAGACGTAACAATAATGCAATACCGGTTCTTACAGATTATTTCATTATTAGTGATTATTATTAATTTAAATCTTTGTCATTAAGGGGTATCAGCAATTATGATATTATTGTTGTGATTATTCAGTAATATCAATATCAAAATATTTTATCTGTTATGTGTCTAGTTGAGGATTATCATCATATTCATAAACATGCACAATGCCATCTAGCGTGCAGAGATCTTCAAGTGTTGTACCAAAACCAACCAGCAGAGGGCCCCAACTAAGGATTCACCCCAAGTTCACAGGTTTGACAGATGCACTCATTGAGTGTTGATCTAGAATCAGGTCATCCTGTCTATAAATCCCAGCCTGTAGCATCAAAGCATGACATAATAGCTGTCATAGTATCAGTGGATGGCACCCTGTTTATTTGGCCACTTCTGAATTTCTGTGAGGGATTTGGGTTGTGGTGGGGGAGGAGGAGGGCGTTCAGGGGGAATCGCTGACCAAGCCTGCAGCGCCTCATAATCTCAGGTTACAATCTAAGCCAACAGCTGTTTGAGCTACAACGATGACCTAAATATTGCATTCAGAGCTAATAGGTTTTGTCTCTCTCCCACACACACAATAACTCATACAGTTCTTTCCTCCACACACTGTACAAGTCAACTTGAATAGATGAACAAAACGTAGACACATTATGCACAAATAATGGATCAGAATGCAACAATAATCATAAATGTAAACATGTGATGTATCTTAAGGTATCTCAACTTCATTCTTTATTCCGAAGAAACATTTAAATAAATTTCAGGAACTACTACAAGAAAATGCTCCAAACTCACTGAGACAGAGAAGTCCATTGCAAATTAACACGGTCAGCAAACCTAGGATGCCTCGTGACAAACTAGACGCAGTAGACACTGTTGTCCATGAGACCGCATTGCCATCAAAAAGCCATTTTCATATGGCACATTTCCTTATGTTAATGTTCAATATGTTAATCCTGCAGCCACTTACAGTTTGCCAAGTGCAGACTTCAGTAAATGTGCAGTATCAAAGCAGATTGCCACTCTGAAGTCAATGAAGTTTATTTGAAGAAATGATTTGGCTGTGCAGTAGCCTTGTAACCCCTTAGCAACTCATCACCATGTATATTAGACACACACTCTTGGATGGCACTTAAACTGCAATCGCCACGAGGAGTTAGGACCGTGAAATTGTGCTTTCAAAAATCCCGACAATGTTATATCACTGCTGTCCCTGTGGCTCTGTGTGTTTAAACTGCTGGCTATTTTTTGCCCCATTATTTTCACTGTTTTAATGTTAAAACAGGGAGCTGACCTCTTGTTCTATAATGGGTTGACTGTTTTTATCAGAGGGGTCCATATGTTAGGGATTATCACTCCAATTCTGCTTGTACTGTCACATTGACCGAGGTTTCTCAAACTCGTATTACTACTGAGTTATTTTTTCTGCCATTGTTACAGGATGAAACACATGCCCCCAATGCTAAGATGATTTATGAAAATCCCATCATTTTCTCATTAACTTTCCAACACAACATGGCTGAGGCGTTTGAAATGAAAATAGAGCAGCAAAGCAGCAATATCTGGCTCCGTCACAATCACATCCACAGTCACCGTTAGCAGAAGTGTTTATTTTGTCCACATCTTCCATACCCTGTATACACCAAACACCAGTCTCATTCGATGCATGTCAGTTTATCGCTATTATAACCAGTGTAAATGTGGTTTTGCAATGTAAACATACGGAAAAGAGTTGGAACTATCCTCTCACATGGTAAGATGTAAGTGTTGCATCTCAACAGTGCTCTTCATTTCAGTCTTGCTCTCGAACATTAAGACTAGAAAACATAGTTGTTTATGTATCAGTGTGTGAAAAAGTCCATATTGAATAAAAAATTAAAGATTTGTCATCAAAAAGCATTAAAATCTCTAATACAAAATATAAATGCATACATTTATACATTCATGGGTTCATCATAAAGCGCAACAAAAAGCATCTAAACACATTGCTGTCAAGTTCCATTAGATTCTATATAAGATTTTGTTTAGCTTTCTCAGTCAATCTGACACGCCCATTAGCATTGTCCGCTGAACATTTTAAAGACATTATTCCATGACATCTTTAATAAATTGCTTCCATTTTTAGGCAGGACGATGAACACATTTCTGTTGTGGTTACAGTCTGAAAAGATCTGCTCCAATACAGTGTAACACGCTACAAAAACACGGTTGTATTGAGCACCCAAAGCGTAACAAAATATAGACTTGGCCATCCATCAGAAAGCAATAAATATGAAAAAATAAGTTAGCTAAAAACATTTCAAGTATCAGATCCCCTGGGTTTTCACTGTTTGACATCATAAAGGTCACTGAGCATCATGCACTTCTGCTAAAGCTCTGGCAGCCCTTTTTAAGAAGCTAACCAGCATCCCCCTTGCAAAACTGAACAGACAAAAGAAATTTTTAGTCTTCCGTCCTCTTTTAGGAACACTGCTGGTAAATTCTAGGCTCACCCTGAGCACATACAGTATATTGTAGAAAAACATTAAAGCCAAAACTCTGTCCAACTTAATGTTCAGTCCAGATTTTGTCTCTTTGCAGGGTAGTGTACATGACTCTCTGAGGCAATGATATTATTTCCTTTTCCCGGCAGCAAGGTGTCTCTTGGTTATGGCCTCAAGCCTTCTCCTCTCCACCTCCTCGGCTTTCCTCCTTTCTTCTTTTAGCTCCTTGTACCGCCACTTTGGGATCTGCAGCAGGTGCCCCCCTCTATCTTTGGCGCTGCTCTTCCTGCGGATCTTTTCTGGTTCATAAGTGGCCGCAGGGGCCTTGGACACCCTCACTTTGGGGATGCTGAATCCCGGCCTGACGCTGCTCCTCCTCAGCACCATGTGCACTGGCAGCAGGCTGGTTCTCCGCAGCTCCAGGGCTTCGTTACAAGCCACCATGCCCAGGCTGGAGCTCCTGTGTCGAGGTACCAGGCTCTGGGCCTGAAGGCTGGCCCGGCGGTCTGCTGTGTTCTTGGCCACCAGTGTGACCCGGGAGTTCTGGAAGAGTTTGAGGTGGCTGTCCACCCTGTCAGGGTTGACAGAGTGGAGCTCTTTGGCGCGCTGCTGGCGGATGATCTCAGGAACTGCATGCTGCCTTTTGCCCACACTTGGGGGGCTGTCGGGACACACCTGAAACAAAATCAACAGTTTCTGATTGGTATGGCTATCATGTGATAATGTGTAATATGATAGCAGTGTAATATTAGTAGCATTTAGCAACACTAGTAAGGATAATATAATTCTGGGTGAACAAAAAGCAGTGCTCAGTCTGCCTTTTGTTCGCAGTATTGCAGTACTGGCAATCTTGCATGAATAACCTGCTTATCAGATAAGACTGGTGTTAATTATATCCATTAATTATTCTGAACGAATCCCATGAAAAAGCATAGAATTTGTTGATGAAATAAAAGATAAATTAGTGGCAGATTTATCCTTTAATAGCATTATTACCACAATATTATCACTAGGGTATTTGCAATTCTGTGAAACAGCAATGATAGAACTACTTACGACTTGAGATAAAAACAAAAACAGAAGTCATTTGCAAACTGATGCTAAAGAACACAAATATCTAATGTTCAGTCAAATTTTAAGTCTGTGGCAGGTGATTTGCACATTGGGCAATGAATGAAGATAGGAAAATAAGCCCTCATATCTCCAACTATGCTGAGTATGTGAAGGAATAATGCAGAGGAGGCAACTTTATAGATTTAAAAAAAATCCTTCCTTATCACAAGAAGTGGTCACCTGCGTACTAATTGCTTTACCTTATCTCAGCTTACATTTGCAAAATCCTTGTGGATGTGAGGGAGTAAGTGTGAGACATGTGGGTTGGGATGGATGTGTTCTTGGATCTCGTGGGATACCGTTCAATGCTGATTGGAGTGGGTAATGAAGAGTAAACGTGATCTAGAGCTTAATTACTCACTGTATGGCACGCCACAGCAATGAAAGGGCTCCTCATGGCAGTTGTAATAGAGACCATGTGGTCGATGACACCTTCATCCTCAGGGTTGTTCACATTAGCAATGTTGAACATGTGCCGCACAGTGTCCGACAAGCGTTTCAGACAGCCACGGGGCTCCTGGGCTTTGGCCACCAATGATGCAAGTGGGGGCCACTCTAAACTGGGAGAGAAAAAATTGCTGTAAATCCACTGCACACTGTGGGGATTATTCTTAGATGTTCGATATTGGGTATTTCCATGCAGTTCACACTAGCCACCTTATATTATGAATCAGTGGCCACTTGCACTGACCCTCATTATATTTACAACAGAGCTTTTTTGTGTTGCATGTCTAAATCCCCATGTCTTGCAGCAAATATCCAGAAAACAAAGTGCAGTGAATCTGAGCCAGGCAAGACCTGTCCAGAAACACTGATGAAGAGATGAGTTGTACGTAACTACACAGCTCAAATGCTAGACAGGATTATTTCTTTCTACAAAGCCAGCTGGCAGGGAGAGACTGCGTTCGTCAGACAGCTCATCAAGATGCGGCGTTGGGGAGTTGCCCAAGTGAACAGTCAGAGAAAAGGACTTGCAACATAACTCAGTGCCTCCAGGCAAAAAGGGAAATCATAACTACACATGGCAACATAACTGGAGTGAAAAGAAAGCAGCACCTCTTTATAATTTCCATGAATACTGCAGTCCCCATGAAAACTAGTCAGTAATATTTTTTTAATACATGAAAATCTGCTTGCCTTCCATCTCCCTCCCATGGAAAACAATTTTTAAAAAATACTGCAATGCAGCGATGAAATGCATCACTTCTTCAGACACTGGTATATGAGATTTTGCCCATGACGGACAGACGTATTGAGAAATGTGATCCAGCTGTGAGCTCACCTGTATGTATCACAGTACTGGCGGGGACAGGGACGTTCCATCAGGCGTGTCATCACCCAGGCAGTTTCATAACGGCCTGTAAATAAGGCCCAGTCCCTGGCAGTGAAGTTGCGGCCAAAGTCCCTGGCGTTCAGGGCAGCTCCTGGTGGACACCACAAAGAACATTAAATATGCTGATGGAAGGACATGGCAGACCACAAAGCGCAAAATAATGCCATTTCTGTCATTCCCATCATTAAGGGTTAAATGAAATCCTCACAGTGAAACACAGTGTCAGTGTCATGATGATTTGGTATCAAGACTCTCCCTTTGTTTCATGGTTATGGCTAAAAAGAAGAAAATAATCATCTAATAACACAAATCTGGATTACAGCCAAAAGTTATTCAAATTGTCCATCTGTGCACCAATGTTCTGAAAACCTGTTCATAAGTTTTCTGAGCTGCCCTCATGCCACAGTAATGGCACGATAAATTACATATTTTGTGATTGTAATCATTCCCCCCCCCAAAAAAAATCCAGGTTATTTGTTTAATAATTAGCGTGATACTGTCGTTTGTCTCTGTGTGTGCAATCGACACATTTCCTCCTTCCTGTCTGCAGAGTTTAACACATATAGTGCCATTTTCCTCACCTGCCATCATGAGCGAGCGCACACATTCCACCCTGCCCTGCATGGCAGCTTTCATCAGAGCAGTGAAGCCGTGGCAGTTTCTCCTCTCTATGTCCAACCCGGAGTAGTAGTTGAGCAGATAGTTGGTGATGGTTATGTGGCCTAGAAGGACAGAGGGACGGACAGTAGTTACTGTAGGTCACAATAAACAGTCTGTAATTGCAAAGTTGGCTTGGGTGCTAAATGCCCGTTCACACTTGTCATATTTTGGACAGGCAAAAATCCACATCCATATGGCTGGTCCTTATTCGCCTTCCACACACTTTCAAAAAAGCTTGAGTACGTGCTCGTCTGTGTGTGTTCATCTGTGTCAGCATTAGTGCCAAACCGCCTGTGTGTGTGTATATTTGTATTTGCATGTGTTCAACAGTACTGTGAACCAGCCTGTCAGCGTGTGTGTATGTAACTAAGCCAGGGTCTGATATACCACTCTGTGCAGTTGTGTGTGTGTGAGTTACCGGCTTGAGCGGCGGTGATGAGAGCTGTGTTTCCCTCGCTGTCCTGCCAGTTGACATCCAGATACGGACACTGAGACAGAGCAATGACGACATCCACGTAACCTTGGTAGCACGCAACCAACAGCCCTATCTGAGACAAAAAGCGACAGGGGAGGAGAGAGAGAGTTAAGAGACTAGAGAAGGGGAGAGAGGCTTAAGGGTGGAATCAGCAAAAATGTTCAGGGAAAAAAAACCTTGCCAAAGGAGATAAAGTGAAATTGCAGTAAAGTGCTGACATATAGGAAGTACTATGAAGAAAAATGCGATCATGGCAGTGTCAGTAAGAATCCACAAGACCGGGGGATCTTTGTGCATCTTTCAAAACTAATAACCCTGAATAAATATGACATCTGTTGTCTTTTCATTGAAAACTGAACTGTCTTGAACTCAGTGGAAAAATAAGCTGTCTCCCCATCTGATGTTGTTGTGTACTTTTGTGTGTATGTGTTTGTGCGCCTGTGTGTGTGTCTGTTCATGCCAAAACAGGAACCCTTTTATATGTATCTGTGTGTGTGTGTGTGTGTGTGTGTGTGTGTGTGTGTGTGTGTGTGTGTGTGTGTGGGACGCATGTGTAAATGTGTGAGTCTTGGAAAACTCCTGTAAAAGTTGGGTGCTTTCCGGAAGGTGCACACTTCATCGGCCAAGACAAACAAGTTTACCACCAGAGAGAGAAGAGAGCTTGGGGGGGCTGGGAGTAGGATTTAGGAACACTGAGTTCTCAATGGACACATCGTATACATAGTGTATTTATATATTTATACACAAAATATTTCTGTTAGAAAGACAGTTCTTTTACTAGATGGGTCTGATCACAGGTGGATAAATGCTGATTTGGATTTAAATGATTAAATTAAATAATAAAATTTAATCAGTTCCTTCGGTTTCTAGGTGACTTTTGGAAGCATATGGAAGTTCATTCCCCAGAGCAACAGTGCCATTTCTTTTTTATGTCACCACAACACAACTTACTGCATTTACATCTTCCCTCAAATGGAACTTGGGCCTTTGTTTTCAGTGTGAGAAGTACACAATATTCTTGGTGTTAAATTGGTTAAAATTATGTTTCCAGACCAAAGGTTGTATCATTGTAACTCAATGCAAAACAAGCATTACAAAACAAAACAAAACAATGGGCTTTGCATACACAGGCTCACAAGCGTAACTTGAGAAGCTGGAGATACTGTGTTTGTTCATAACGACTTATTAATTGGCAAGCTGGCTGACTCCACGGGGAGTCTTCATTAGTGCTTTATTAAAGCCAGGTATGCTGGAAAGGTCAACCAGTCAGACTTGCTCCATGTCAAAACGCAGACAGTGCATGAGTCAGCTGCGAGACAGATTTATGTTTTCTGCTTCTGTGCGGGCTGAGAAGTGGGCTTTCACCTGAAAGTATGGGGTGTGGTAAAAGCACCTGTCATGTGTTTTGAAAGTAAAAACAGAAGCTATCACCTCCCATCTCCCAGCTGCTGTGACAATTACAAAGTACTTATTTGTACACCTTTAATGCAATATGAGTATCAGATCTGTGCCATAAAGAGTTCAAAACTAGACTTAAGAGAAATTAATTCAAACTTTGCTGGCAAGAGTGAAGTGTTATAATTTGTTACAATTTGTTCCACAATTGATATTCCTTAAGTAGACTTCATTTGTGAACCTGCTTCTGTGACATGATGTTCTCTTCATTAGAGCACTCATAAAATCTACTTGATGCTTTGCACCTCTTGGCACGATATGTTTGTAGTCTTCGTTCCTGAGCACACTGCGTTACTCCAGTAAATTATTCTTTCAAACTCTGGTGTGGATGTGATCAAAAGTTCTGTCTCGCTGAAATGAATAAATATAATAATGACTGAAGACTGGTACAGAGAGGGCCTGGAGGTTTATAGAAAACTTGCAAAGTTTGAGCCAACCTCCCCCGTATCTACCTACTACCCACACACATACACACACACACACACACACACACACAGATAGACATTAAACGGACAGTGTGTGCAAAATGAGTTATATGTGCATGTCTACACGCTGAAGTCTAAACATCGCCGATAGTTATGGACTCTTTATTTTTTCGCATTGCCTTTGATTGATAGTGGGAGGGAGAGAGGGAGAGAGAGGGAGAGAGAGGGGATGACGGCTCTACCTGGTGAGCTACCAGGGCATCCCCTTTTTTATAATATACATTTTCGGGGGCTTTTTGCCTTTAATTGATAGGAAAGGGGGAGATAGAGGGAGGAGGGATGTATACGATCAGTATAGTACATTTTTGAACTGGAATGAAAATAGACCTTTTCTATGTGGAATGTGCACTGATTTTACAGCAACGTGACTATGCAAAAATGTTCTGAAGGCTGCTTTCTTAAACAAATAACTTTATTAAAGGATATTTATTCTTTAAAGGTCCATTGTGTAACATTTAGAAGGCTCTATTGGCAGAGGTAGGTGTCATTACTGTATAATGTTTTTTTGGTTTAGTTAAAACGGTGCTTTGCAGCATTTACAGTACAAGTACAGCAAATATTTTCCCACCTGTGAGACAAACTGAACTTCAACTTTTGGCTGAAACAAGCCAGGCTGTCAGCCAGCTGATGTAATCACATTAGTGTTGTCAGGCCTGACAGTTTTATGGGGGAAAGGTGCTGAGAGGTCCTCGGGAGTAACTTGTGGATTGTCTGGGAGAAGTTCACTTATGCTGGCACACCTCCAGATAGTTCTATCTGGTTATAGACACACACATCTATGTCTCTCTCTCTCATTCTCACACTCACACACACATACACACACATTCTTGGCAACCCTCCAGCCTTGCTGTGATGTACTTAAGCGGCATGCCCTGCAGCATGTCTGGAGCAATCTCAATCGTCTGACAATGTCCTGTTTTCTCTGTGAACCTTTCTCACACAAATACATACAAGAATTTAACTTCTTTTTTTTTAACCTCTTTTTCCCAGACTCTAGTTTTCTACTCAACACATCCCCATCATGCATGCGAGAATATTTATAACATCTATTGGGCTGTGATGCACTTTACTAGTGGCTGCTGGCCATGTCGATGACTGAAGAATCTGAGGGAAGAGCGCCAGCGAAAAGCACGCACAAGCATATGACTGCGGAGGCAAACATGAATCGAGAAAAGGCAATCATGTGCTACACAATGTTACCCACTCAATGGCTAACTCTGAGACGAAAGGGATAAAAATAACAACACCACCAGGTATCCCAACAACCCTGAAACAATCAGGAGAGGTATTTCCAGAGATGGATGAGTGTGTGTGCAGTGCATGTGTGTGAGACAGAGATACTGTAAAATGTAAAGTGAGACTTTGAGCATGGCAAAGACTCAAATCCTCACCAGTACTTTTTAAAAGATTATGTATTTTGTATGTAGGCCAAACAAAGATGTAGTACAGCCATTTTAAAGCGACTCATTTACTTGATGGTGATGGACACGGACATATGTCCTCCCCTGACTGTCAATTGCAGCCGGCGTCATAAAGTTAACCCAAACTTCCCTTTAATGGAAGCAGTTTTTTCTTGACCTTTTCTTTCGTTATAGCTTGGAAAGTATAAAGTAGTAGCCGTTATGTTTAAACTCAAGCCAAAATGCCCTGTGGTGTGAAGAGGTATATTTCTATGCACACTGTCTAATCTACTGATACACTATCAACACTGAAACACGGTCTTCTGATTTATAATCCCTCAAATGTTATTCATGAGGCAATTCCTTTTTGCTATTATAGAAATGTAAGCTGTCTGTCCTTTTAAAACAGTCAATATTTGGGATCCATCATACGTCTCAGTTTGTATTCCTCTAGAAAAGTGGAATCTAGCTAACCTAGCTTGCTAATATTTGCACTGATTCCCAATGGACATGACTTTTCATAACTTTTTGTTATTTCAAAACCTGATCAGTGCTACTGGAGAGCTGTTGCACACAACACTGGCCCAATGCCAGTTCAAACATACAGTGTAGTGTGTTAGACACTACAGCATATTAATATTCACTTATAACAAGATGACCTGTTTGCCCTGATCTCTGCCTGTTATGCTTCTAAAACTGAAGTCTGAAGTATTTCTTTATGTCAGCATTGTCAGTCAGACTTGCCTACTGGAGTACACAGATTTATCTGCATAAGAACATATGAAATATAAATGTATTTAGCAAGGACAATTTTGACAGTACACACATCATAACAAACTAATGTGATATATATATATAGCCAGATTTCTTAACTAAAACTTTAATGTCAGTTGAATTTTGACTAAATCTTGCCTTTGCAATAAAGGTGAGTGGGTTCTGATGCACTCTGACACACACACACACACACACACACACACACACACACACACACACACACACACACACACACACACATACACAAATTCTGATCAACTTATTATTAGCCCATGTAGACAAAGAAACACACACACACACACACACACACACACACAATCACAAACTCCCAAAGTAATCTGGGGAATATCCAGAGCTAGGAATAGAAAGGCTTAGCCCTATCAGTCAGTGACACAGAGAGAGAGAGTGGGGGAGGGAGAGAGACATTACTGTTTATCTACAGTTAATGTAAGAAGAACACTGTGATGATAGTCTCCAATGACGATGACACAGTACCCAGCGTAACCCTAAAATTTCAACACAGACACACAATAAATACAGCTAATGTTCAACCGTTTTAATAAGTGCATCGTAATTAAATCACGTATATGAGAATATCTTCAGATAAGCATGGATGGACTGACTTTGTAAGTAGTTTGTAACCAGTACTTAATTTACAGTTTTTGCTTAGAATGGGTTTTAATATTGATGAAACCAATCAGATCTGACCCAGCCTCCCTATTAGTCCAGTGAACTGCCTATTTACACCCTAGCATCCCAGTCAAGTAAGAATCTGTTTAATCTCCCTGTAATGTCTAGTATTGGCCTCTCACGCTACACTAAAGAACCTGCTTCCCTTGTGGGTTCCCCAACGTGACTTCTTCAATAAACCAATCCAACTTCCTTCTAGGACTTACCCACACTGTTTTTTTTGTAACTTCCCAATAAGTACTGTTCGAAGCTAAATCCTGCAAATCACCTGACCGGCAGACAACCTGTACAGTATCTCTGCAGCCTGTATAAACAAATATAAATATAAAAAAATTGGTTTTGCATTTTACAGGAAATCGTGTGGTGAAGAAGAACATGCACGCACACACACACACACACACACACACACACACACACACGGGCAAATACACTCAATCACATACACCAGAAGCACTGGCACAGCCACACTGGGCCATGTTTCTGTCAATAGCCTCCCTGTTAACCGTCTTTCTGTCTGCAGCTGAGCGTTCACATGGCTGCATCAAATCAGATGTGTATGACTGTCGCTTTGATTTTTCCACTCATCCATACTCGCTAGCAGCATCATGCTTGCTATCTGCAGTGCCAAATTTCTGTCTCTCCCCGCCTCTGCCTCATTTAGTCTGCCTGCCTGTTGGCCTGATGGTCGATCTGCATGTCGGTCAGCTGTACTTTCTGCCTGTCTGACACTGTGTGGTTGACTTGTCGCCTGTTGCCTGCAACGTACTGTATATGCCCTTGTTTGTTTGTTACCTGATCTCACCCTATTTGGATAATTTGATTGTGTTCTAGTGGAGGAGAGTGTGTGTGTGTGTGTGTGTGTGTGTGTGTGTGTGTGTGTGTGTGTGTGTGTGTGTGTGTGCATGACAAAAAGAGAGGCCTCATTTAAGTTGATAGAATTCTGTGTGTGTACTTGAGTTTTTATGTGAGCATGACAACTTATCCAATTCACTGCAAAGGGAACAACGACTGTCCTAAACAGGGTCAGAGCTGCCCGAGGACATTGATATACACAACATTAACACACGTTAACATTCAGAAGAGATAACCCTGATGTTTATTGACTTGATTTTTAGATGAAAATGGTTTGATGAAATCTCATCCAGCCATCAGCCATCACAGTCACAATACTGAGGATATAGGGATTCTGACATTGACGGTATATATAATTACTATGCCATAATCATACACAAGGAGAATGAAATACAGGTATTTGCGTATGACCTATATAATGGCTTGTCATTAGATTTCTTGCTAAATTTAGCATTGAGACTGTGTTTAGTTTAAACATGGACTGTCGCTCACCGTCTTCTGAGGGTACAGGGCACGGATCCTGTCTGTTAATGTCAACAAGTGTTTCTCTGGCTTGTTATGTTAGGTTATGTCCATCCTGGAAAAATAATATCAAAAGTTGTGATTGTTGGTTTAAATTATGAGACAATTTCAACAACAATAAAAAATTTGCTCATTAAGCCTTCTCATACACTCAAGTTACTATGGAACACTTTAAAAAAAAAGGAGGGTTGTACTGTTCAATGCAGGTCTATAAGTTGTGTCTATCAAACTTCATTTGCATTCCTAGAGGGCAATTTTGAAACATTTGTTCTTTCCTGTTATGTCACACAGGTTCATTTTTAGCAAATGTGGCTACAGGATATTGGAGTTCGGTTCTTTTTTTTCCCCTCTTTGCATGTCTTATCCTTACTCCATAATATTTTGTCCACGTGCAGGATTGTTGAAACTTGCTCAACTTTTCATCACCAAACTTTTGTCTTCCTGTTTCTGGACCACATTACTGTGATGTAACTGGGCCTTGGCTATAGACCACAGACCCAAACTAGTGGGTCCCTTGTCACAACACATCAAACCACACACATCTCACATCTCATATCTCACATCCCATGTTACCCACACCCTTTCAATTTCTTTTTGTTTTTCTGTACAGAAGGTAATGAATGCACTAATTAAACTACAATTAACCACAGGCTCAGGGCTAATCTCCTGTGTTGGCAAATACCTATCCTGCAGAAGTATCTTATGCAAAACAGAATCCCTACCAGCTTCTGGGCTGCCATTCTGTAGCTACTACAAAATATTGATAAACCAGTGTATCAATGTGAACATTAAAAATTCTTATTGATTCCACCTGTTTAATCTGCTTTAACAACAAAAGGGATGTGTGGTCTGGTACTGATCTGTTATGTAATAACCCTCTTTGTCTTGCACATGACATTGTCAGGATGTCTGCTATATTAGGATGTTGACATCTGTGTCAGGACACACACACACACACACACACACACACACACACACACACACCGTAATGAGCTTAACAGATGCATATCAACATGGGTTTCCAATGCATGAGTTCCCTAACCTGAATTGTCTGAGGATGTGCACCTCCCCGAGGTCACAGGGCATAGCAAAATAAATGGCGAATGCGCTAGCACACATGCTGGTTATGCACGCAACTGTGTTTTTGCGTGCCTCCCAAATACATGTCATATAGAAGAAAAAGGAAATCGGTACATTCCAGTGACTACATTTTTACTCTTCCTCCACATGACCTCATCAGTAATTACATACATACATACATACATACATACATACATGCAGAGAAAGAAGGAGGGAGAGGCGGTTAGAGATATAAAGAAAAGTGAAATAGTAGAAGAGACAAAGAGAGAGAGAGGGATAGCCTGGAGGTTACACACACAAGTTTGTGATGTAGGGTCAGTAGTAAGAAAACTCAGACAAGCTGGGAAATGTTCAGTGGAGAAAGTAAAAGAACAAAACACACCCTCAGCAACTATAAGTAAGCTGCCTCCGAGCACAGAGCTGCAATCCAAGCTTCTGTACTGCTCCCGGGTTGCCAGTGGTAGAAAACTGCAGTTATATTCCAGATGTGAAGGGATAAAACAATGTGCTGGTAATGAGAAAAAGGGCTTTTTCAACTCTTCTCTGGATAAAATCGTAAAAAAAAAAAAGAAAAACCCAACCAAACACAAACCCACTCACAACAAGACATGATAAAAAAGTGTGTAATTCCTAGTTCAGCACAGGGCTTGTTGCCAGCTAATTCAATAACTATTAGCAAAATGTCCAGACGAATGAAAAGTAGTCTAGCGTTCCATCATTATGGATTTATCTCTTTGCTCTGGGCTGCAGTTCTTTGGCAGGAGTGAAGTGATACACAAGGCATACTTGATGATTGCACTGCAGATAGCCTTTCCAATAAGCAGAACCTCTTTTGATAAATTACCTTTAGGGAAAAAGACCAATTTGTTTAGGTAATTTAAAGTCAGCATACTTAATTCAACTTATATAGTCGTATATAAGTTGTTACACATTGCTATCTATATCAGTGTTTGACATGGGAAAAATAGAGGCACTGCTACTTCCCCATGGTGGAATTTATGGTTTTCAACTGCATCTTGGGTCATTAACAAGACTGTTGACGGACACATTAATGCCATCATCTCATTGGTAGATAATGTGTTTACCCACAACCTGCTTCAAATTAAATCCAAATCCAGAATAAGAAAATGCACTCAGACGCATACTCACATACACCTAAAGGAGCCTGCATGACCATGCCCATGACCCCGCCCCACCCCATCCACACACACACACACACACACACACACACACACAGGATTGTATGTTTTGCAAACTGAGAGAGACTTGAGTGTTTTTATAAAGCTTGAGGTTGCTTGCGCTTGCAAAATGTAGTTCTGGCCACACACAGACCTGTCAGAAAATACCTGTATGCTCTGAGAAATGATTCAGGACAAAGTTGTGAGCTCATTATAAAAATAAACCAAAGCAAGGATATAATGAATACATGTAGAAGATTTAAATTCAAAACAAGGAACCTGTTAAGAAATAGTCTATTCAGCCTACATCTCCTTATCAGCAAATATCAGACAAATATTTGATTGCTAGTTGGTTGATTATTAATCTAATTATGAATGCATAATTGCAATTAATGTACAGGCTTATTGAGACATAGGTAGCATAACTTTAGTGAGGCAGGCCAGCATGGGCCTGTAAATGGGTTAAGTAAGCCACTGCACAAGCTCAGGCTTAATTATTTCAGTATTGAATCTGAGACTCCCTAACTGAACTGAGTCATAAGAAGCCCTGTCCCTCACACTTGAAGACATTTTGAGATACAAGCTAAGCTCTACTTGTGAGAAGTTACTCAAAGTGGTGCTATTATGTGCTCCATACCCTGTTATTCCTGTCCTTCTCCTTGACCTCCTCCTCCGTCACCCCATGCCGAAGCATTATCCGGACGATAGCCGCGTTGTTGGTGCAGCACGCCTGGAAAAAAGACAGCGGCTCCGGGCTCTTGGGGGACGGGGTCCGCTCCGAGTCCGCGAACACATCATCAGGCGGGTAGAAGGAGTCGTCCGACACGATGCTCCGACAGTCCTCCAAGTCCTCGAAGTCAACTTCTTCGAATTCACCATCGTCTTCCTCCTCTCCATCATCCTCATCGCAGGAGCCCAGGTAGTCATCGTCAGAGTTGGACGGCGGCTCCTCGGCTATGGTCGGGTAGACTTGGGTGACTTTTTGCTGCTGCTGGAGTTGTTTGACCCGGACAGACGAAGCGCCTCCTCCATCCCTGTCGTCCGTGATAAGCACCATCTAACCCCCGAGCCTAGGGCACTGTCCTCGGGGTAGAGTGCAGCCTGGCACGTGGGGCGCGGGCATGGGACTGGCTGTCTCTCTCAACAAGAGCGGAATCAAACTACCGAACTTTAAAAGAAAGAAACAAGTCACTCACATCGTCTCACAGGTCTTTAAATTACACAAACTCCTCGACCCTGTGTCGCATATATCAGTGGAGCATGTTGCGCGTGCCGTTACCCATCAGTCATCTTCGCGGGGTTGGTGACATCGTGCCCTAAGAGCCGTGAACGTCCCGCGAAGTGCGCCCTCAAAACGAAACCACGTTGTAGTTCCAGTTAACCGACTCGAGGGCACGGTAGTGGGGAATTCTACGATAGGTTCAGCAACAACAACAAAGAAAGTGGAGCTAAAGTAGAAAGTAAGACTGCTGCGCACACGACCGTCCCATGTAGGGCGGAGAGAGACAGCAGCCTGCTAACCTACAGTCTCCTAATCCGATTAGATAGGACTGGGACCTATCTCTCTCTCTCTCTGTCTCTATCTCTCTTACTCTCTCTCTCTCTCTCTGTGTGTATTTACAAGAGATTAATTCTACTCTCTGCTCTTAGTGGAACATTAATGTTCTTTGGATATTCATAAAGGGGTATTTGTGGTACAGTTTTATGTGTATTTATCTGTATGATATTGCATTAGTATGCCTATTTAAATCCATGATCCATTCAGTTAAAAAAGTTTAAAAAAGAAATATATTTTTTTATGTAGCCTATCATATGGTCTCTAACATTAACGCATAAATAGGCAGTTTATGTGTGACTTCCTCCCTATTCCTATTAGTTCTTAAGCACCTGCCAGTACACCTCACACTGCAAGTCATTCTTCTGTATTGCTCTGGATACTACATTATGTTTGACAAATAGTTTATTTTATGCTACTTTCTGCCAGGCTTTTGTGGTTTCACTCGTCACTGAAAACAAAGTATGCTCTCCACTTCTTAGAAAAGAAAAATCCCCTGTGTGTACTTTACATCTCCTTCATGTAAAACTCACATGGGGGAAAAGCTGCATTCATGTGTCAGACTATGATGAGTCATTTAAACCAAAAAGGGGAAGGCCAACTTTCAGGCTAATAAGGCAGATTAGGTTCCAATTAAGTGATTAGCATTATTAAAATGATTGTGGCACATGGGTTACATTTAGTATGATTCTGAGATCATTTATTTTACACAGCCTCAGTGCATTCTGCTCAGTTACCACTCTCGCTCTCATTTTCTTGGCCACCGGCCAGCTGAGATAATAGAGACATAGATTGGGCTCTATTACTTGGCACTGAACTATGGAGGGAGTTGGGTTTGCATTTGTGCACTTGTATAACCATTTCGTCTGATGGAAAATTCATATTCATTTGTAGGAAAATAAATGCCTTTCATCTAGTGTGCAAAAAAGGAGCAACTGTGTGAGCTCGACCAGAAAAGTGAGCACAAACATGACTGAAAAATAAGTTGGCATAACAAGTAACCCCAAATAAGGGAACTAAAACTGGAACAGGTATGGTGTCAATTTTGTGCTTGAAAATGAGAATTTCAAAGTATTGTTATAATACAGATTCACTAAGCAGACAGTTGCTGTCTCTGAAATTACATTAGATTAAGATCGATCCCACTAGTAGCATCAGATTCTTCACAGGATGTGCCGGGCTGCTTTTTGCTGCTAAAATAGATATCATATGTATGGGAAAACAGGCGCTTTACATTAGCTGGGTACACATTTGACCTCTGCCTTGACCTCTGCATCCTATTTTGATGTTACCCAAAAAATATATATATTATATAATGTGTTGTTTTCCCTATACACAAAATGGTTTATAACAAAACAGAGTGAAGTCAGAAGAGATCATTATATTATTATAATTTGCTGTTACTGAAGAATGTGCACCTAAATACTACAATATTTTGATACGCAGCTAGATTTACAGAGATGATCCTTTTTTCTCTCAGTAATTAAAAACATCAGTTTGCTGACACCACCTGCTGTGGAAAAACCGACTGCATAACAGTCCCAGTGTGTACCCATTATTGTTATACCTTCATCTACCCCCAGCTGAGAGCTCTGCTCTCCTGTGGCTCTTCCATCTCTATGGTATCAGTCGGCTGCTGTGTGGTTGCAAGCACTTCCACAGACAAATATCTGTGAAATGTTTTACCATCGACAAAATCACCAGAGAAGGTAATGATAAAATGTAAGTCCCCTTCCTCAATTTGACTTTGAGTGAGGAAAAAGGTATCTCAGGACTGAAGGTTGTAATCTCCATTTTTTATGTTAATACCTTGTTTATCTGGCCTGTTACTCATCCACTAAATCTCACATTGTAATTATGAACAGACCATGTGTCCATGCAAGTGAAATCAAAATTTTAGTTTTAGGCTCATGAAGGCAAGAGACAAATTAAAAAAAAAAAAGAAAAAAAGAAAAAAAAAAGGCAATGTGGTTAAAAGAATTATCAATATTCAGTAGCTCCACATCATTAGAATAAATTTATTGTAAAACTGTCAGTAGGGGTACCATCTTCTGCCCTTTCTACCTGTTTCACCTTAAATATTCCTGAATATTCACTCTGATATAAATAAAGGGTATAATAAATATAAATATGGGGTAGAAACTCAATATACTGCAATACAACTCAAGAAACACACAAACCACAACACAACCACAAAATAACCATAAAATCTCTTAATATCTCTTTAAAATAATGAGAACCAAACACACAATTTCAGGGTTGCTGTATTAGACCACATCACTTTTAGCTAAGTGTCTAAGTAAACTGGCTTAACATGAAACATGAAACATTTAGTTTCATGTCAACATTTTCACATGTTGAAATAATCTATTGTACAAATATTATGTGTGAAAATCTGACACATTTGTTCGCATTATATTGATTTTATGACAATATCTGCTCAGTGAAATGTTCAGTAGGATAAAGCTGCCATAAAGGGAACCTGCTGCCAGTAAAAAGGAAATTGGCTAATATTGCTTAGTAATAAACTGGTGTTTTATAACAAATATAATAACCAGAGTCAATTAAATTCCATAAATTATTCAATATTGCAAATTGTAGTAGAAAATACTGCAAGTAGCCTGGTAACCACTTAAACAGTAAAAAAAAAAAGGCCTAACCATATTTGCCTTTTATATTACGCGATATTATTGTGTCTCATCAATTTTTGTTTTCTTTCATGTTATATGATGACACCTGTATTATGGATTTAAAGCTCACGGTGGTCTAGGCTTGATCCCAGATCCCTTTCCCATATGTACAACGCCCCATACTCACTGCTGCACTGCAATATACTGTGATACTGTACAGTACTGTTGTATGACCATTTGAAAAATGCATTCACCTTCTGCGATGTGCACATGTAGTCATGTGAGACTTAGGCACGCTGTAAATAGTACAACCCTAGCAACACCATCACTTGAAGAGCCAATTGCATTAGCTCAACCTGGGCTCAGAAAAAAAAAAAAAACTAAATCCCCCAGACAGATAATCACAATGAGCTCTTCTGCGAATGTGTATGTGTGTGTGTGTGTGTGTGTGTGTGTGTGTGTGTGTGTGTCTGTGTGTGTCATGTAAATGGTTTATACTGGGTCCCGTATCCATTACATTGTCAAGGCTCTTTTAACTAACTATGTGTACTTAGTGAGAGTATGGCACTCCAAAGCTGCATTCATTTAATATTTTAAACTGTCTCTTTTTTGCATGTCATTTTGTTTGCAAAATATTTGTTAATATTTTTTTGAAGAGGTCATCACATGTTGGAAAACCTAAAATACTCATCAAGAATTCATCAAGCTGAGGTTAACAAAAGGTGGTCTTTGAAAACTACAATCCCCTCCAACAGCTCCACTACACCTGCCGCAATAGGGAGAGATGAAAGGGTCCACGTACTGCTGAGTTCTTCTGCATCTCTACCAACATTCAACCCTAACCTGCTACAGTTATCCTGGCATGTTGCATTAGTTAATCATTTCTGCAACCCAGCTCTGCTCCTAGCCTACATAAGCAGCCATAAGCAGAATGATCATTGTGCATGTAAGCAAGGGAAAGCAAATATAAGCATACTGGTCTAATATTGAGAAATTACACGGACATGGAAGCACTGCGGGATGACCAAAATGTCCCCAAAGCAGTTGTTTTAAATATGTCTTTGGCCATCTGCACCACCGCCCAAATGTCCCTTTAAACTGAGAAATGACTGTGGTGTGGAAGGCTCTTTATATAAAAGGCCTGTGTTGATCGTAAATACCTTTCTCTCAGTAGAGCTCATACAGTATATGCCTGCATCCCACATGCACCAAATAAGCGTATGACCTTGATGCTGCTAGGTTTAGACAAGCTCCTGCAGTCCCTCATTCAGTCATTCATTTATTCCTCCTGAAACCACAAACAGCCAAAACACCCCAACACACCATGGTCTCTTCTATGGCATACCTGAAGCAGGAGTGCCATACAAAGATCTCCTATGAGTCTCCTCTTGACACAAGCACTGGACTGTTTAGGTTTGTGTATGTGTGTGAGGGTAAAGTGAACGTGTGAGTGTTTATGTCAGGTTTTAAACGGGGCCGCTTGTGCCTGAGAAGATTTGCCTTAAAATGTTGTTTTTCCACTTCATAACAAAGGCCTTATGTCTGATTATTAATAGCTTGATTGGAAACTCTCCATATTATTGCTTAATCAGCTAATGAGGTCGGGACAGAAAACACTGTCTATTCAGAAGCTAAGAACTACACTTCAATCTAGTGACAGAAAAAGCTTTTGCTGCCAGCTGAATAGAAGAAATTCAATAGTCCACAAGAGGTAATTAACTAATTTTAATCAGTCAGCAATGGCCCTTAATTACGCTCTTTTTGTGATATGTTTTCATGTGTGTAAGAACAGGTCCCAAATATAGCCTGGGCAAATCAATTTCATGTATTGTTGTTAGCATATTCCCCAAACATTGTTAGACAGTAGACAAAATCCACATCAATAATAAATAGACAAAAGCATTACATAAAATTACATAATCTATACTGTTAAGCAAATGATGCCCTTTGCAAAAGAGTTAAGTGTGACAGCACTGAGTAACGCCGCAAAATAAAAGTGTGATTCTTCTCTTCTTGCCGAGATTGTCCTCTTACACACAAACACACACATAACCTTGCTGTAATAGTGAGGCAGAGTGGTGAAGCCAATGCGGAGGTGTCTTAAAATGCTGTTCCTCTAATGGTTGCAGGATACTGGCACCATCAAATACCAGAATGTGTTGAATTTGGTGGGAAAAACTCCTCCAACTTCTCTCTGAGAATGAATTCATTTGACGTCCGCTAACATGCGCTACAGTGGAGATTATAAAATCATTGTTCCATTAAGAAGATAATGAGGCTTAAAGAGAAAAATGCTTTGGGGGCGTTTGCTTGACTGACAGGTGCCTGTCACAGCTAGAAGCGGAGGTTTGCTTCATCCAAACTTAGCTTTAAAATAATAGCGAGTTGCAAACCCAAATCGTTGAGGAAGGGGATGTCAATGGCATACAGTCTGTGATTCTAGTTACACCAGATACAGTGTAGTGGTAGGCATTTCAAGCTGACTCTTCTAGTCACCAGCCAACACATGCTACACCCTGCACTTACCAACAGATCTTTTAGGATTTGGTTTAGCTTTCACTGTTCCATATACAACTTTCATTTCTGTCTTTCATAGCTCTCGTTCAGCTCTTGAGGTTGCTCTGCCAAAGTTTGATGAATCAGGAGGAGTTGAGTCCATATCATCCCGATGAATAAAATCCAGAGGTTTTATCATCCCTTCCTGGAGCTCCCTGGAACATATAGTATGCTGTTAGACATTTGCACAATACAATCTATAAGTCATGTATATACAACTGAATAGCTAATGCAAATGCCTCAGTTACAGTAACAGATAATTGATACATACTAGTACAGTTAAGCCTACACAATAAATTCTAGACTGATTAAATCATGTAAAACAACCCATTACTGTTTAAACAAGCTCCTACAAAACACAGTACAGCTGTTCTGAGTACAGTAGAGCTGACTGATAAAATATCCATGTTCTGCGACTTTAGAATACAGCATGAATCATGTTTTCCCTCATCCTTACCCTGAAATCTGTTACACAACAGCTACAGAGAGGAACGCTCAAATGGAGCCTTTGTGTCCGCTCTCTCTTCTCCTGTCTCTTTCGCACTGCTCTGCTACATTCGTCGTGTCCCTGGAGATGTGATGTTATGAGCGAAGCCTGAAGAAACAGTAAAGGTTGTGCAACAATGTCCGCCCTGGAGCTGAGATTCCTAAACCACTGACATCTTCGCGATGACATCATGTTGCTCCACAGTTCCAATATCCTAACACAATGGAGCACACAGCTCTGATGCTGTACTGTAAGAGCATTGTACTGGAGGATGCAACTAAAAATACATCGAAGTTGCATGGAAATACATGTTCCTCACAGAGCATTTGTAGGCCTATCCTCGGGCCTACGAATGCTCTGTGAGTAGTACACTGCCTAGGTGAATTTTACATGAATAGAAAGTAGAATTTTCAAGACTGATGCGACCTGAGAAGACAATCATTTCTGAATAGAACAATTGCACAGGTGCCACTTTTAATGGTTTCAGTTTTAGACCGATTACCAAAAACAAGTAGTTTGGTTTGAGACAAGAGTCGCTCTGTCCCCTAATAGTTGACTAAACCAGTAGTTCATGAGAAAAGTCTTAGTGGACCAACTTTTCATTTGTCGCATAGTTGCAGAAAAACAAAAAGCTGCACCTTCTCACAATATCTGGGGATTGTTGCAACACAGGCTATTCTCTTGTAACACAGGAAGTCTTTTACCGGTGTAATGCTACATGTGCTAACTGTACTCGCTCCTGCCACTACCTACTTAGCATCCTATTAGCTGACTGTACCTGGAATGCGAGCTCAAAGTACCGGGGTAGGGTTTACACCATTAGCACAGGAGCTTTGGATGCTGCCGGGGAGTGGGGCCAGAATGAGTATCAGAGTCAGAGTGTGTAATGGAGCCGGGTTCAGCAGCCCTCCCAGTGACCACGGCCAGGTCAAAACACAGCCGTCGGAGGCCAGGCAGGAGAGGCGTGAAGCAAGAGAGGAGTATTTGTTTTTGTGAAGTTGGAAGTCAATTATTTTGGGTTTTGAACAACAAGATGTGTGAAGTTATGCTGTGTTGAAAGAAATTAATTAAATGTTCACAGCTTGTTGGTTGTTCGGAAACAGCTTTCTGACTTTGTTAGATAGGACAGCTGAAGAATGACAGGACATGGGGAGAAAGAGAAGGGATGACACACAGCCAAGGGCCACAGGTCAGACTGGAATCCATGGACCCATGGATGCAGCAAGGACTCCACCATCTGTTATCATTTAACAGGAGACTGGTAAAAATATATAATTAAACAACTAACTACTAGTCGACTAGTAAAATCTTTAGTCGGGGACCGCCTTAAAATGCTTAACTGAAGACGTGCAGAGATGGAACACCAGAAAGGCACGATGCTATAAAAGTGAGGACCTAGTTTTTTTCTTGTATTTTTCTCTTGGAATTAGTTTTGCTTCTCTTGTTCACTGTCTATGTCAGTGAACAACAAAATGTAATTTAAAACAGTAAAATCGAACACAATTTCCACTGGGTGTCCTAAACTGCTGCAATCTCTTGTGTTTCACAAGTCAGCGATGTTGCACACTGTCAGCTCAATCCCAATAGTCCCTGTGCCACTGGAAAGTACCAACTTGAAATCAGGGACTTTCTGTGGAGCAGTAACTGTGGACCAAAACTAGAAGTTCCTTGTTTCCAATGTTACATTTCTATTGAATGAATAAAAAACAGAACATACTGCTTACCTATGTTCTACTACTACTTCTACTGTGTGCTTCACAAAAAGATCTGTTTTCAGCCCTGACAAAATTCCTCTTCTGCTGTGTCATACGGGTGGAGAGCCTGCAGTTATCGGGTTATCTGGGATTCTATCTGTCCTCCAATCCCCTTTGACTCGGCCACAGCTGCAATCCTGCAAGGGGTATCCTCCTCTCCTAAAACCTACTGCCAACTATGCCTGAACAGTGAGTTCCCACTGATGCTGTTTCCTGTCCTGCCTGTTGGGATACTCAGAGTCTGTCTGTGTGTGTTAGAGGAAAATAAAAGATGTTCATAAGACCACAGATCATGCTCTCACTGTCACACATGAAACAGTGTCTCTTAATACATACAATATACAATCTTGTGGACGTCAAATTATCTGCCGTAGTTTAGAGAGACTGGGCATGAGATTTTATGCAAGCGTGTGTGTGCCTCTTAGATTGCCCTGCATCTGATTTAGTGTGCTTTCTGATTAGTATAATAAACCTGTTTGAGTGTGCGATGGTACTTTCCCATGTACAATATTGCATTGAGGAGTGAACAAAACAGGGGGTTTTAGGTCTTTAACACAAGCTGAAAATCATGCTCTTGTGCCCTCAGAGCTTATCTCCTTTTTCGTCTGCTGGGTAAAATGAATAGCAGAGAGGCCAAATGAGGTGAGGCTACAAGCTGATTGGTTGTGTGTATGATAAATGAACTTCAGCTAACCCAGACATAAGGGAACAGGCATTAAAAAGCATATACACACACTCCACCTGACAGTTTGTGCAAGGCAGTTTTGTGCCTCTCTTGCTGCTCATTAAAACCAACCTGACTCAAAATAGTAGCCTCGTTCAGCTGGACAACGACACTGTGCCTGCTTCTAACAATTAATGGGACCAATTTCCATGTAATGAAACAACAGCTGTGCTTAAAGGAGCATTAGCAGGTCCATTTATTAATTGAACACTGTCATTTTGTTACTTCTATTCCTTCCTTCCTGTCTTCCATTTGCTTTCTGTCTCTCCTTCCTTCACTTCCTGCTGATGTAGAAGTTGGAAACCTGAATCATGCCGTTCTGCTTGTTGCTGTCGGGCGGAGAAACCAGTGCATCAGTGCAACAGCTCTACTCAGCAGCATAGGGATTTTCAAAACAGTGAATATCACTATCTCACAGCATCATCGGAGGCCATGCGACCTGGCTTAGCTCTTAAACTGTCTGTACTTCTTAGCCTACCGGCATTGAGTGGCAGCAATGTTGGGGCCAAATAGAGTTAAAGCAGTGTTCAGCACATCCAGTCATCACTGCAGAACATACTGGCAGCAAGAACCCCTTGAGTTTACAGTAGTTTTGAATGTATTTCCTGCATTATTTTATTAAATATGTCCCTTATTAAACACTAGTTTTCAAATGAAATCTACTGTACATTTGAAGTGTTGAAATGTGTAATTTTGTGTGTTCAATTTTGATTAATTCGATCTCTTGGCGACTTGTTAGCTATCTATATAAGTAACAAAATAAGTCACAAATAAAATATCTAGAAACATAAAAGGTAACTGCACTTGTGGATATCATATGCCCTTGATTACTGACAATCTTCACAGACAAGAGTGAAATAAGGACTCATTATGAGATTTGACTGGAGCTGAAACCAAATGAGAAAAATAAATGATGCATATGAAACAGCCTAATTTTCCACTGCCTACATCCACTCTGCTTATTGCAAGTGGAAGTAAGTAGTGAGGTAGGCTTAATTTCTACAATTGTTAAAATTGACACACACACACACACACACACACACACACACACACACACACACACACAGAGACAAACAACCCCTACACTTGTGCCTGCAGGCTGCTGAGGAAGTTGTCAATGTGTTCCTGTGGCATGTCCCCATCCAGTAGAGCCAGGTAGGTGTAAAGTTTGACGAAGGTGCTGAACGGGATCCTCGCAGCACCGCCCTCCTCATCCTCTGTCAGGATCTCACAGGCAAACTTCAGAGAACTCACGAGGGTCTGAGAAAGTGCATGTAGAGACGCAGAGAAGCAGACAGTAGGGGTTTGTCAAAAAAACAGACACACAAATACAAAACACATGCATTCAGCCTTCAAGGACGATCATGTCTTGTTTAAGCACACACTGCAAATACACTTTGATGCAAGCGCACAATAGCCTAATGAATGAAGAACATGACTGCCCTCATGTGGTTAAAGTGTTCAACAGCCTCATACACAGCAGCATCTTTTCCAAACTACTGACACTCAGTGCATAATGTTGGTAATCCTGAGCTGCTTTTGCAGATTTTAAGTCATCATCTGCAAAGTTCTCCATGCTTAAAGACATTCTCTTTAATCTGTCTCTACTGCTCTGTCTTTAACTTTGAAGCAAAATCATTGGCTCAATATCATAACAAAGATTCAAGAAGTCAAAGAAGGATTTATCCAGTCATTCTCTCTGGAGCCTGGGGATCCCGATGGAGAAGTATGGATCACGGGCGTCTGGATCTTGTCTAAACACCTCAAGACTAGACTGTGAGATGAAGAAAAAAGGTGCTCCTTGGGGATCTCCAGCTGCGCTTGGACTCACTGTAGGTTTTAAGGCTCAAAGGAAGTGGTATAAAGTGGTGTTAGCATTTATTTCTGGCCTAATGTAACATCTCACCCCTCCCAGAGCACTGCATCCCAGGGCGAAAAACTCCATCCAGTCAATGTCTGGGCCAAAGTAGCCCAGCGACAGCAGGGCCTCAAGCTGGTCCATGGGTAGACACAGACCTTTCCATTTCTTCTGCAGTTGCTCCTTGCTGCATGTTTGCTCTGAGGACAGCTAAGATGGGGTGAAAAAAAGAGGTTATACAGTTTACCAAATTACAATAATCATTCAGTATTGTTTGTTGAAATAAACAGTCACATTAGATCTGGGGATTCAGGCAGAGAAACAGTGTAATTAAGACACATAAGTAGTCTATTACACCTGGTACATGCTCATAGGTAGACAGATATATAAGAAGAACAGTTTATTCCGGCTCCAAGCTGGTAGATTGATATGTCCAAAACAACAATACAATTTTGTATTTGTTCTAGATTTGTGACCATAAAGTTAGCATATTTATCTTTAATTATGGTTTTATTAAAATGTCTAAAGCAAACACAGTTTTAAACAATCAACAACTCTGCAATATTAATATTTCTGGCATAAAGACAGAAAGAGATAAGCATCCTGATGAGGTTAAGGCTGCTTAAGTGTTGGCCTTTAAGGAAATATTAATTTTTCAGCTTCAGTTTTCAGTTAATGAATCCACCACACCAAGATGCCAGCAGATGCCTGAGGTGAGATAAAATTGGTTTACATTATGAAACTTTAATGATCCACATCCAGGAACAGTACTGCAATATGCAGATACACACACACAAAAACTAAATGTGTTATGGGTAAGCAAATGTGGATATTAAACCCAAAATAGAGGGCACAGTCATCAGAATGTAGCTCGTAGAGGATGTGTATATTCGAAACAGTAAAGCAAGCACATAGGAAAATTACAATATAATGCATTGCTTTCCTTCCAAAAGCAACAATATGAAGCAACACGTGATCAGTTATATTGTGGTTTTGCTGTAGAGAAAATACCTGTTTATGGAGAATCTTAATTAGACCTGGAGTCAGCCCGGTGTCTGTCTTCTGGGTGGCAACATTCATCTCCAGCCTGTCCTTGACAGGCAGACACTCTCCTTTAGACAGTGCACTGAAGTATCTAGGAAAGGACACACACACACACACACACACACACACACACACACACACACACACACACACAAAAACACTTCAAAACACTGTGCTTAGCTTCACCCTGCTTGTCACTCATCCCCCCTGCTTCCCAAGCATGTCAATCAAATAAAGTGATAAAAGCAGACAGTGTAAAATAAGGCATAAGTTATGGTATTAGTCCAATTTAATGAGTTCTCATGAGTACAATCAGTTGAATAAATCATCATGTGTTTAGTTTTCTTTGTCTGAAATTCAGCGGTATTCTATTCTATTATTATAATGCTAAAGGGCATGCTGTTGCTTATCTTACTTCACAGTTCCAATAATAGGTTACAGTGAATTTAGCATCTCTGAGAGGCAACAGAGGCTGGTGTTACTTTAATAGCAGATAAACATCATGTAACCCAGGAGACATTTGAATTGTTTTTTGTTTCACCACACGGCTCACGTTATTGTCTTTTGCTGTAAACACTGCCAAGCTACATTGGCCAATAAAATAGCACATAATATGACAGTCCTTGGGGGTACAAAGAAATTCTTGATGTATTCAAATTTTATCCAGTACTTTAAAAGTGCCTTTTTCTTTGTTGGAGAAAGTCAGATAGTTTAACCGCTGCAGTAACATTGAAGCCCCTGGGATCCAATTATAGACAGTCTACGCAAAGATGAGAGATGCACAGGTGAAAAGTGTATGCCTTTTCATACTGTGATGCTGCCTGGAGACACTGTTTATGGTATTGTTTAAGAGATCAAGATTGGAATAAAACCTCACGGACAGAGATCAGAACTTACGCTGCAGACCACAGCAGCAGATCCTTGGGCTGTGTGCGAATGGCTGCCTTAGAGAAATTTTTGAGGATGTCTGGCAGCTCGGGAGGGATGTTGATTTGCTGGGCACAGTAGATTGTGTCTGGAAGAGGCATGGCTGCAATATAGAACATTGTACTTTAGTCCAATTAGCAGATGAGATCTCACAGATAGAAGGCCGGTGAGAGAAAATAAAAAAAAAGTGGGAGCTCCTTGGCCATTTCAAACTATACACGTTGGCAATAACACAACATGGAAAAATCAATTCTGCTTCTCTTGACTTTAGCTATCAAATGTTGGGAAGTTTGAGAGGGAATTTACTACCAAAGCAACATGTTTTAAACCTGGAAAAGCTACAGAAATGTATGCTTCCTGGTGACAAGAGGTTTCTGTATAATGAAAGGAGCCATGCTGGGGAAGATCCCACTCATATTAGCGAATAAAGAAACAAACATAAGGACATCAGAGAGCAGGTTACTGCGGCTAACAAGCAAGAAAGCAAGAAAGCAAGAACAAGCGGCGGGCAAGAAAGTCATTCTGTGTTGAAAAAGCATTTCCACTTTCTGTTATATTATGGAAATATAGTTTTATCATAATGTATTAAATACTCGATTGATTTAAACTTAATTTAAATAGATATTAAACGTTACATGGTCATTTATATTAACTTAAAGTGGTAACTTAAGTTAACGTTAACAATTGGCAATTGCTAATAGAATGTTAGCAAGAAAAGTGTCCGACTTATCGTCAATCAATGTATAATGCTAACGTTACCAGTTAACGTTAATGTTGACATTGAGCCAAAAGGCATTATTCTAGTAACTTGAGTAACTTTAACTGTCAAGATATGTTGCGCATTAAAATGTTTAACGTTACCTGGATAATGAACAATGATAATGAACTCGCGGAAAGTTGGTTAAAAATTTAACGTTATGTGGTTAGCTCATCGTCGCATAGCAACAGAGTTCTTCGTTTGTTTTCTAAGGCTGGAACGCCGCGTGTAGTGTATTACCGCCCCCTGCTGCTCAGGAGAGTGCAGCGCCTTTAAGATGTGTCTCTCTGAGAGCGGACAAAGGACTTTTTACTTTTCAACCGCGTCTGACGAATAAAAGTACAAAATTATTGGACTTTCACTCGTCTGAAAATTAATTCTAAAAAGGTCTGATGCGCCATCTTTGTACAACTGATACTACCCTGAAAACAATCACAATGTAACCCAGGTAAGTCTCAAGGAGAAAAAAAACATGGACTAATTATAGTGATTGCAGAGTGGACTGGTTGGACAGCATTGCAACCAGTACCTTGTTACTGATTATAGAAATATAAAATTAAAGTTAATTTTACACCTTTGTGGAGAATGTGATGACAATTCTCCATCCACTCAGAGGATGTGACAGAAAGTGTTGTAACCGGCCTTTTTGATGTCAAGTAACTTAAATGGGTGATGCCATGTCCCCCCCAGAATCAGTGGTTCTGTTTAATCTGGTACAACTGTCAAAAATCATATCGCTGAAGGAGACACTCTGTGGAGCAAGTTTAAAAGATTCAGTGTATTGTTCCCATGCAAAGGTTACCTACTTGTGCAATGCCCAGGAAAATGTGTTGGATACAGGCCAGGACAATGTTGTCATCCTATGTTATCCTGGGATAAAAGTGCTAGAATTGGTGCAAATTAATTTGTCTTCCTTGTCAGATTAGTTAGAAGATAGAACTGCCCCATATCAGCTGACACACATTCAGACAAACAGTGACAGACACCATTCTGTGTCAACACACACATTTATTGAAGTGATGCCATAAACAGGCAAAACATCATATTGACCATTTTATTATTAAACAGCTTCTTGAAAATACAGGTTTACACAGACTGTGATTAGAAAATAATAGTACAACTACCAGTATTTGGTAACCGAACTGACATGGACAATTTTAAAAAAAAGCAGAGAATCACCCCAACCACACCCGACGCTCAAAAGAAGTCAGCAACTATGATAGACAAAGAGAGAAAAAAATTCATACTTGTGCAATAGGCACACATGCACATTCACACAATCACCGTCAGGTCATATACACTGGTAAGTGCAAATTTATTCTAGCACATGTATAAATTGAGTAGAGTAGGTAGAATCTGCTTTTGAAATCCCTTTCAGATTCAACTAACTTAACATTTATAATGGGAGCCATGTGATGCAAACAGCACAGCGTTTTCCCTCCCAAGTTATTACATTGGGCCAAACAAAATTTGTCTAAAAAGTAATTATTAAACAATGATAAGGATGGATAGGATTTAATAAAATAAAAACAACAACACAAGTTATCTGGACTAGATAATGGTATCCCAAGTCCCCTTTTACCCCTCTCGAATGTCATCTCTTTCTCCACTTGATACAAAAATAAATCTGTGCTTCCCCAAAAACCCACCCTGGACACTTTCCTGTGCCTATAAAACTATCGAGGATCAGATAATACCCCCCAGTGACACCTTCGGGCAGGAACTACACTGTCCCCAACCAACTATTACCCCATAAGCTTCTTTCCATTCCCTGGACAAGACTTGGGCCAAGTCATCATTTGAGTTCCAAGTGCAGTTATGCGATTGACGTTTTGTGTTACACAATGGATCCAACTGCACTCTTCACCTCAACAAGCGTAAAAAACATCAATCTTGCACAATATTCAGACTAAAGGAATTCCTCACAGATAACTGAATGATTTATAATTGACCCAGCTCTGTCCATGGCTGGCATTCCCAAAAGCATTATAGCGTGCAGGCAAAGAAAAATATTTCTAACCTTTCCATACATGCCACTGTCTGCTACATTGATTCAGAGTTACTGAGTATTAATTGTTTAGATGGATTTCATACGACACGTGAATGTGGGCAATACTCGCTATAGACTTCAAATCAATTTTGAACAGTGGAGAATACAGACCAATGCATTATGGAAAGATAATGCTCATCTGTCAATGGGATTTTCTTTTTCTCCATTTATTGAGTATATACCTCCAAATGATTTTAAATGGGAGATCTTGTGTTGCTGTTTTATGGTGGGTTCAATCCCATCTCTAAAGATTTCCTCAAATTGAAATTGTCTTTATTCTGTAGCTGGATAATGATTATTAAAAGCACTTATATGCTTTTGGGAGACCAGGCCTTACCCGCTACAAAACACCAAAGCTGGTCAGGCGGTCAGTCACAGGGTTCTGTCTTTCCTCGGTTCTATCTCTTTCCCCTTTTGTTACCAGCTGGGGGTTTCTTGAGCTGGAGAAGGGGCCCTCCTGTGCCGAAGCCCGCGGCAGGTTGGTTAGACACGCCAAAGGTCAGGCCGGCCGAGGGGTTGATGCCAGGGTTACTGAAATTAAAGCCTGAGCTACTGCTGCTACCAAAACCTAGAAAAGCAAGAGACAGGGGACACAGGAGGACAAAAAGGAAAAATATAAGAAATGTTAGAGAAAACAAAATGGAAGAAATAAAGGATGTCCACATGAAATACAGATACCTTCCACCTGTTGGCAAACCCCATATTCTTAAATGTGCCGTGGCCAAACTTCCAGCAGCCTTGCATAAAAGGCTTACAAGACTAAACAAAGATGATGCTGTTAATAAAACCTATTTTACAGCAGAGGAAACCAGAGAAACGTATTATATAGCTGCATAGTTTTGAAGCTCAAAATAGCTTGACAGATACGTATACAGGAAACTTGTCCGACTGCATCTGAGAACATATGCTCAAAGGATTATCATAATTCAGGAAGTACACTTGCAAACACAAGCCTACTCAGACTCTAGTTGTACTGTAATTCTTCGGGGGTCGGGTGTGAAGGGGGTATATACAGTATATGTATGTACCTGCACTCAGACTGCCTCCTGTGGGCTTACTGGTGGAGGAGAAGGCAAAAGAAGACCCCCCAGTCCCCACCCCACCAAATCCTGGCCCACCACCAAAACCTGTGGGAGAGAGTGACATGGAAGTCAGTTTGGGCTAAGTCAGTAGACAGACTAAACTAGGGATGGATACAAGGAGCATCGCCCTCGGGAGTACACACAGGCAGGCATTAGCAAACATGAGCAAAACAAATGCCACAACCTAATCAATGGAGCACTACACACAGCTTGACTGGAGACTGCAGAACAAAACAGCACGGTACACTGCATGGCAAAGCAAAGGGAGAAACACTTAACCAAACACACCAACTACAGGAGAACACACCAACCTGGTGTGCGTTCAGACCACTCGTTCCCACACTGCCAAGTTACTTTTAAGCGGCTGTTGTGGCCAAGTGGATTTGCCAGTTGTCATCCAAAACATATTTTTACATAAAATAAATTTTTGGGGTCAAATTTCTTCTCACTCAGGAAAGAAATCATCCAACTTATCACATGTCAACGTATAGCGACCTGTGACAAGTGGTTGCTCAGTTTTCTTGTGGTGTGAACGCACTTGACCTCTCACACAAGAAAGAACAGGAAAAAAAAAAAAAACTGCCAAGCTTTGACTGCGCACTCTTTCACACACACACACTGCCTACCACTACTTTCATACACAAAGACCTTAAACAAAAAGGCTGCTTAGCATTAAAAGCTAGGAGGAATTAGAGAAATGGTGTGTGTAATTGAAGGGAAATATAAAAGGAATATTCATTTTTTTAAAAAAAGGCAGAGGTAATACCTCCAAGGGTAGAAGAGCCCAAGCTAGTGCCCACTGCCGAGGCAAAGGGGTTTCCAAACCCTGCCCCCAAGGGTGCCTGGGTCCCTAAGGCACAAAGAGCATATGTTTTACTCCACTGAAGGTGTTTTGTGTGTGAGGTAAACTATTCTCCTCATCTCCTTTGACAGAAAAAAGCTGGTAAGAACATTCACCACAGAACAATGACACATGGCGTAGCTTGTGACCTGCACTACTGTCAAATAAAACTGACTTCCTCTTCACTTTGACAAAATGAAATGTGAAAATATGCATATGAAGAATCCAATTAAAAATCTAATACATGTAGTTTTCAGTAGCTTGTTTTAAAATGCAATAGATCGTATGGGAGTAATTTAGCATAGTGGTTGTTTGTAGGTACACTAAAAGATTGCAGCAGCTATGCAACTACGCCACACACACACACACACACACACACACACACACACACACACACACACACACACACACACACACACACACACACACACACACACACACACACACACACACACACACACACACACACACACACACACACACACACACACACACACACACACACACACACACACACACGGGAAAAGCAGCATGCTACTGTGCACAAATATATGTACTTTATAAAATACTGTTAGAAAGTTTTTAAACTATAACATCAGCTTATCAGCAGTGCAGTTATGGTTGCTGACAAACTGTGGAAAAAAATTCTGCTAGTTCTTTCACTCAGAAACTTGTCTTTTGTCCTTTATGCAAATCTTTTTATGTATTCAATTTTTGCAAGGTTTCCAATTAGTCTGCATAGTTAAAACAGCTTCAGTCGAAAAGAAACAAGGACAAACGTTTCTTTGTTTAAAAATGGATTTATTGTCAATTTAATATGCAATTCCACTTACATAAAACACAGACAAACAGTTTAGAACATAATTGATTGTTAATTTCTAACTGCTACTGCATTTGACAAGTTTCCAAATTTTCAAGATTTCTGAGAGTGAATGAACTAGCAAACGCCAAAAGAAAAATGCATCACACAATTATTGAATATAGCTTAAAAAGGCACACCATATTATATATTAAATATACTGTATCAACAGGCATTGGTTATACAAGTTTAAACACATTCGTCTACAAGTAAAAGCACTCGAGATTTAGATAAGAAATGTGAATTTGGCATCTATGGCTGCCTCTCAGTGTAAACTGGTCAAAAACAAAAAAGGAAACTCAGTGATATGTTACAGTTCGCCTGTGGAAGTCTAGGCGGTCACGTTTCGGACCACCCTTTCAACAGGAATTGAATGATCCTTGTGGTTCGTGTTTGTTTGAACACTTTTCACCAGTGTATGCTTAGACATAATAACAGCCAAATTCTTGGTGTTTTTTGTTTGTTTTTTTTTAAAACACAAAAGCTGCACCTTGGATAAATCTACACATGATTACAGGCTACAAACACTTTCCTTTGCGGGATCAAGTCTGTCTTAGGTGAGGTGACTGGTAAATATACTGGTACGAGATTCTTCAGTCTACTTTTCAGATAAACATAAGCAAATGTGTAGTTTGTCAGAGATCACAGAAGACCCCCCCAAAAAACACAACTTGCAATAGTAGTACCTCCTGGAAGCCATATATAGAAAAATCACTACAAAAGGCATAATGTAAGCATATGATAAATGGTCAAAAGGAAAAGATTAAGAGAGAATAAGAACATTCAAAACAGTCTGTAACAGCCAACCACTCAGACCAGACTCTGATTTTCCACTAATCGGGCCCATTTTAAAAGAAGTGCTGTGCTGAAGCACAGAAAAAGATACCATATGCACAATTCAGAATCATTATGGAAATTCAGAATAACTCAAGTTGAGTTAAGAAGCTGTAGGCAAGTTATGGTGCTAGTAGTGTGCCAACAACCAAAAAACATTTTTTTAAATAAATAATCACATTTTAATTCCTTCACTTGTTTTGAAAAAGAGGTAAATGGGATCATTCCTGCTGTTGTAATGGCATTCAAGAAAATACAGCACTCAGCATTTGCATACACATACTGACACGTATGGAGAAGATACCCAACGTACAGGAATAAGGTGGCTAAATATCCACTATCATCACCCTCAAGGTCCAAACAGCTTTGACAATTTGACAAATAATTATTACATAATTTAATAGTCATCATTGTGCCAAGTACAACTGTAGAGAGGTGGAAGACGATATGTTGAAGTGTACGCTCAACTACACAAAAGTCAAAATTCTGGTCAACTTGAGAATCTAGAATCAGGACAGACGTCCAGCTCGGTCCAAAACTGTATCTTAATCCTACAAAATGTTTAGAGTTGTTTAACAGAGAACTGGAATGTCCACAGCAGCGGTTTCTCTTAAACGCCCAGCAGCTCCATCAAGAAAGAACCAATTAGGTTGGATTCACCGAGCACCACTGTAACTAGCAGCAATATACAGATAGGTGCTGGAGAGTGAACTGAACAACACATTAAACTACTGTTTTTTATTTTGTCCTCACTATTGTGTCCAAAAATGCAAAGCTATCACCAGTATCTAACAACAAGGAACACTGTATCCTCTCATCATAAAATGTTGGGGGGTTAAAAACAAACGCAATCAAGCCATGTGGACATAAAATCCGACCACATCGATTGGTCTGTTTTGTTTGGCACAGATGTATCTTACTGGCACCGAAGGACCAGTGTGAGCAGCAAAATGACAATCAATTCTTCTCCTCTGAACAACAAAACAATTGGACCCAATCAACAGAGTCAAACCAGCGAGAAAGCGGATTTCCCACAAAATCAAACGAGTCTCGGTGAGGCTCCATACAAAAGTACCACCAGCTTGGATAAAATACCTGAAATTACAACTTGTGAACAGCACTTTTACTCTACATTGTAATTTAACTAAACTGAACGTGAAATGATCCAGCCCTGTTACGCTGACAGTAGCCCTTAGGTGAAATAGCTTAAATCAAGTAACAGTGGTATGGCCTCATGCAACCAAACCAACCCAATGCTTTTTAGTATCGAACAGTGAGATAATGCAGGCTAGTTTTGTCGCCAGGCTATTTTACAAGACTTGCTTCCGCTTCAAGACCAACTAAGTGCAGTAATGGTAAGACAATTTCTTAGTTAAAATTTACAGTTCAGGTAATTAAATAGTTTATATTTTCAGTCCTGAGTCTTTTGGCACCTTTCACCTAACGTCCATTGAGGCACAAATCCGAACACACTTTCGGCCGACACAATCAACCACCGCACCGACGAGTATGTGGGTCATACGAGAATCCGCCTGAAGTAAGCACCACCCAGCTGCATGGTTAGTGTTGTATGTGCTGTGATACTGGCCACCCCCCACTATGCCATTCCAATTATGGACTAGGTTACACACCAACAAAAAATAAAATAGAAATAAATAGGTAAATAAATACTGACAAGACCAAGACATCCACTTGTGATTAGGCTAAGTCTATGACATGACTGAATCAAATACCAAAGAATAACCATTATTTGGCAAAGGGGATGGGAATTTTGATAAATATTATCACTGACATTAAAAAAAAAGCAATTATGTGATCTATATACCCAACTCTGGGGTGAACAGACTTGCAAAGCTATGAGTTCAAATTAAGTTCCAGTGCAATGCAGCCTTTTTAGATTCAGCATACCCAGAGCACATAGGGTTACAATATACAAATGATTAGAAATTGATTTGGCTTCATATGAAATTAAATAAAAGGGAAAGCAATACAAATACAATCTTCAGCAGGCACCTAGGTAGTGTACCACTCCAGTAAATCTTATCTACTGTGGCAGCAGGGCTTGTTTGTGAAGGGCTTTAGGGCTTTCTTTAATAAAAATAATAAAAAAGCTAATTCTGGTTAAGCAATGGATTGGTAAAATATTCCCATCCTGACTTGGCACATACTCTAATAGTGTATCTTATTCAAAATAACCCCGGCATGTCCTGCTAAGCGATACAAGGTATGTGAATGTTCAAATGTTATTACACCGAAAATTGTCTGGGTAACTAGATCTGATAACAGTCTAAGCAGTTTCGATGGTTTTAGTGAAAAGGATGCAGCAGAAAATTTGCCATGTGAACATTGTTAAACCATGCTGCCTCTGCAACCCCATCCAATTAAACTATTGCTTTTAACCTCTTCACTACACTTCATTTAAATTTGTACAAAAAAAAAAAAAAAAAAAAAGACAGCAAAACATGCCAATATACAGTAGTAGCTTAGTTTGTTCGTTTTAATTGGGTGCCCTGATATGCCAGTAAAATGGCCTACAAAACAAAGCCTATAAAAAAGGCTGAAAATTGGTTAACACCTCAGAGATGTGGCAACAACCATAATGGACACTACTCTTAACATAGTTATATTAGGTGTAAAATGTTGAAAAGTGAATCTGTGTGCTGAAATGACTGAAACACTGTGACCAGCTTGAGTTTTAGACCATTAGTGTACTGGGCTTATTTAAATATTTCTGGGATATACCCATTTGATAAGTCCTATTTGGCAACACATCTCTAACACCAAGCAACGTTGGTAATAAGATCTATCTTCACCTGCTTATGCTGGACATTAATACTGCGTAGAATTATCTTTATTTGTTTTTACTGGCAGAAGATGGGAAGAATATAAAGTGTTTTATGACTAAATCCTACATTCTTTAGTAGATAGGACTGGCTTTTTTTTTTTTTTTTTTTTTTTAAATACAAGTTGATGTAAGCCTTCAGCCAGTGCTTTAGAGTATGGGATGGTTTCTCAAAAATGTGGGTCTTGGCCTAAACTGGGCCTATTATTGGTAAGACCCTGAACAAGAGAAGCTGCATGCTTCAGTGAACAATGACCTTTATATAAATCTGTTCTTAAAAATGTTGGAGTCATGTTTACTGTGAAGTAAGCTGATGCCATCTGGTGTCAACTGGAGATCCCTCTACATGGAAGAGATCTCTTGACAGTTGGACTGAAGAGAATAGTAGCTACATTATAATAAATTTATACACCAACTGATCATCCAGTCACAATCTAAAAAAAAGAAAGAAAAAAAAGTATGCTAAGTTTATCTAAAAATCACACAGCAAGTGCCTAATGCTTCTAACTCCATTACATAACAACCTTCATTGAGTTGGCTCATTTCAAGCATCAGTTGAATAAAAGAGTCCTAGCTCAAATGAGATTTAGAAGCTCTAATTATAACTTCAAGATTCAAGTTAAAATTGAGATAGTTGGACTTTCTCTCCCATTATAAACAATTGTCCAATAGTGTCAGCCTCATATACCTGCTCTAACATCCTATTAGAGAGGGCACAGAGAGAAATTAGGTGAAGTAGGTTGTTAAATCCTTGGTATTACGGAAAGTGTTTGTATGACATTCTCAAGTATACAGGCTTGGCACCAACACCGCCAGATTCTGGTGTTCATTTCCCACTGGAGCAATCTAAAATGTCCTCACTCTGGTATTGTAAGGCGCATTAAATAATGTGTCTAACCCTTGAACTGAGAGTCAGAGACAAGATGGTAAGGCAGCACAAAGGTTTCCTGTCAGGGTTTATCTCTCCCTCTCTCTCCTTTAGACATTTCATTACAGAAAATATACACACAATAGGGCACCAGCTAAGGCTTTTTTTATTATTATTATTTTTAATCATTCTCTCTGTCCCCCTTTCACCTGTCTACTCCCAGTGATTGCCTCATTTTTAAAAAACGCACTTATGCTCTTCAAAACTTATTATACTTGTCTCTCCTATCCCTCCTTTATTTCAAAAGGTGAGAGGAGTAGAACTTTCTAGAACTTGTAGGCAGTCAGACCTGGAGTTGGCTGCTGTTGCTGGGTCAACGTGGCTGCCATGGCAACCGCTGCAGCATTGGGCACACTGGAGAATGGGGCAGGCCCAGTCGTGACTCGCGGCGCACTCTGCCACTTCCTGTTAGACGCTCGTTTGGACTCAAAGACGTCTGTGGAGTCTTCCAGGAAGGCCCGACGGTAGGAAAGGTACTGGTGCTTCAAAATCTATGACATTAGACACAAACAAAAGGGGAAGATGGGGAAACAAAGAGGATGCAATTACAATGTTGTTCACACATCTAATTTGCAACAAAATGTTGTAAAACAATAACACAATATGATCACATTATCACGTATTACTACTTAAACTTGATAAATGTCAGTTACCACAGCCCTAGACATTATTAAACACATTTTAAACAATGTGAAGTTGATGAGAATATTTACTGATTTTCAGAAACCACGGAAAAGAACTCACCTTGACATTCTCGTGGACAGACTGGAGCTGAGCAGCCTGCGCGACAAATGTCTGGTACAACTTCTGCATGGCCAATGTCAAGTCTAGAAACAAAAACATACACAATAAAGCTGGGTGCTCATTTGTGGTGCGTTAAATAAAAAGATGAAGAGGGAAGTGTTTAACCTGGTTAAACAGATCTGTAGTTTGCCGTTTGTCACTGAGAAACCACGTTCACACTACACATCTTCAGCTTTAATGTTAATATAAAATATATTGACTATTGCAGCCATGTTAGAAGTCAGACCAATGTCCTCTTACCCTGAGGAGTGATGTGGGAGCCAGTGCTCTGCGTTGTTAGGTGGTTCTCGAGTTCTTCTATCTGCTGCCGGTATTGCTGCAACTGCACCTCAAACTGCTCTATCAGGCTACGGAAATAACTAAACAAACAAAACAAAAATACACATTTTTTATCTTTGTGAAATCCATGAAGTCATGAAAACTGATATACAGTATGGAAAACAACTGAGAGACTAGTGAGGGGCTTATATTGGTTTATAGGCCGAGAAGCTACGTACTAATAAAATTATTATGCATTTTTGCTCAATGGGACTCAAACGCAATTTTAAAAAAAAAGTTTTAGCTTAAAACTGTGTCAAGAGATAAATAAAAACAATCTACAGCACACCCCCCTTTGATTTGCTTTGGGACTATTCTCAGGTAGCTTACTTACTCTGATGGCGCAGTGTTCTCGTGTTGAAGTCCAGGGGGAGTCTTTTGTGTACGCAGGGCTATGTCGGCATTTTTCAGCTCCTTAAGAAGAAAGGAAAGAGCAAAGTCAAAAGACAGATTTTTATATACAGGTATATTCAAGGTACCATCTCTTTCTTGGAGATAATTTTCCGCTGATGTGAGTAACAGACAGTTAACAACCAAGATCTCGTTGCTATGTAGCTATGCCTGTATATGTGTTTGACGTATGCTCATATTGACAACAGATATGACCATATACATTTTGTGCACCAGGACTAAAAAGACTTGTGTGTGTGCAGATGTACCGTACCTGTGCCGTCTCCAGCTTTAGTTTGTCAATGGCCAGAGCTTGCCGCTGCAGGCCGCTGGCACTGACAGAGAGAAGCTGTTTGAGGCTTTTGATGTCATCTTGGACTTTAGAAATGGCTTTCGATGACATTCTGCTGATGTCCTCCTGAACCTGTTTCTGGTCTTTCACAAATTTTCTATTAAAAAAAAAAAAAAAAGAGGAGGAAGAAAGACAACTGGAAATTACGACATAAAATGTTTGCCAGAACTAAATTAACGGTGCACTAATACAGAGTATTTGTATTTTAATTTTGCAGTACAGTGCAAAAGTCATTGCTTTCTGATAATGTGATCCTTGTAGCCATATTTCAACTCACAACATGAATGAACCACATCCCCTTTGGAACAACAACACTACTGTTAAAAATCAGCTAACATTTGCATGCTTTAAACAAATTACTGTACCGAGCAATGTCCCCAGGCTTGTGACCGAACAATATATAGACATACAACACTTACTGGAAATTCTCGACATCCTGACAAATGACTGGGGGCAGGTTCTCGTCTTTTAAAGCTTTACTGTCCCTGCGGGAGAGAAAAACAGTGTTTTTAATTACAACAAAATGAATAGTCCATGCTGATCAGGTATACATTACAGGATGAGAAGCTACTGACTGCCTCTAAATAAACCGCTGTTAATATGTTTTTACATTATAGCAGACTGTTCAGGACAGTTGTTCTAGCATTTCCTTTTAGTAAAGGATTTTGTGTATTTTGGTCTCCAGGACTTACTGTGCACTGGCTCCAGATGATGTGTCGCTCTTACTCTCAGAAGAAGTGCTGAAGTCGACTCCACCCAAGCCAATGCTGGGCGCAGGGGCCGCTGATACTGCTGTGGAGGTTGCTAACAGAGAACCCAATGTTAACCCTCCTCCTCCAAGAGTGGTCTGACCCAAACCTGCAACACAGAGTAAACTCGTTACAACACTGCAACATTTACGATTGAGGGCTACCTCTAAAATAGCTAACCTCAAGCTCAGGCTGTCTGTTTGCATCTCACCTGCAGACACAGTGTTGGAGAAGAGACCCCCGCCCAGTGACGGGCCTGCTAAGGCTGCTGTTGTGGTGTTTGTGCCACCAAGACCGAGGGTGAAGCCTGTGACTGCAGGCTGCTGCGGAGCTGTAGATGTCAGGACAGACCCAAATGTTAAACCTGCCCCTGCGGGAGCTGATGAGGAGGTGGTTGCGGAGGTGGTGAGGGAGAAGGGTGTTGCTGAGCCGGTGGGCTTGTTGAAGGCCAAGCTGAAGCCAGTGGATGCAGCTGAAGTGGCTGGGGCACCTGAGAAAAGGCATACATAGAAGGTTATGACCTGTTTTCATTGCCTTCACAAAATCTTAGTTAAAAAATAAAATACAAACGCACCTAATGTAAGGCCGGTAGCAGGTGCAGCAGCGCCTGAAAGAGAACACCACAACATAAGACAAGATGTATGACTGCAGCAGGCAGACATATCAATTACACAGGAATTTATTCCACTGCTTGCCACTGGGTTTGTTTATGGATCTGAATGACATTTTTACTTGAGGCAGGTGTGTTAAAAGAGAATCCTCCGGTAGGTTTTTGACCAAAGAGACTGCCTCCTAGGCCAAGAGCTTGGGTGGCGTTTGTGGTGGGGGCTGGGGCTGCAGCTGGTGTACCCAGAGCAGTCCCAATAGAGAAGCCACCAGTACTGGCCGCAGGTGCACTAAAGGGGGAAAAGGCAATACAATCAGTCACATACTCACAGTTCTTCCATGATACCAGAGTCAAGTAGCAAATTAAGAAGACAGGTCTGTCACTGTTGCAGTAATGCAAACAGAAAGACAAAATCTTTCAAAGGAAATGCCTTCCTACTTTTTACCTTGCACGTTTTACTTGTTACATATAGCCCAGGACTACAAATTAGCAGGACAACCTGCAGTTTGCACCTGGTGGGTCAGGGTTAAAGCTGAGATACCTCACGTCATTCCGCTAAGCATGTCACACCAAAAACCACAAGTACACAACAGGCAGAACATCACTTTGAACTTAGAGTAATCAATATTCTTATATCCTAATTTCTCATTATTCTGTAAACGTTATACAAAGCAACAAATTCCACTCCCATATGTATGTTCTTTACAAAAGTATGTCCCTTTGCCGATAACGTGCAGATACTCTGGTAATGTTATGAAGTCATGGCAGTTTTGTTGCCTGCTAACGTTAGATTGACTCCATGCTACGCTATGCTAACGTTAGCTAAGTCGGCTATTTGAATGATGGCATTAACGTTACCTGGTTACGGTCCCAAACGAGAATCCCCCACCAGTGCTGGCGGAACCAAGAGTCCCTGATCCGAAGTTAAAGCCAGACATTTTATCTTAAGAGCCAAACATTCACCACCAACTGGCTAATTGGACTTCAGCTACTCATGAAGACGGCCAGCGAGCAACCCAGCGTCACATCTAGCACGCTAACGCTGTTAGCTTTGAAAGATGCCCGCGTGAGGGCCAAATTCGCGGTTTATCTTTACTTAAACCATCCTCGTGCAAAAAAATGGCGCTTTTTAAAAACAAATCCCACAATATGCAATTGTAACCTGGTATATGTTCGCACCCTATTCGTTTGTTTTAGATTTATAAAGCTGCCAAATATTGCAGGATGACTTATCGCATGTGTTTCTTTTCCTATTCCCCGCCTGGTATTTCCCGAATGCTATTGCATTTCGGGTAATCGATTTTAAACTACGTTTCCCGTCGTCCCTATCGCTGTTTTTGTATCGCGTGACGACCATTGACGGTGACGACACGTTCACACATGCGCAAGGTACCAACTTCGGTTCTTGCGGACGTTTCCAAAAATACGTCCATTAGCGTCAAAAGATCACAGATTGTTTCCGGCCTAGCTTTCAAAATAAAAGACACAGGCATGTGCACGGGTCAGACACATCGACGTATCAATTAAAATCTTTATCTATGCCGATAGTCAGTCAACTCTCCAACTCACGTATTAACAAAACGGTGTACACACTTGTCAAATTCGGCATTATAGCTATAATTGCTTCATTTTATTTGTGAATTATTAATTCTTTTTAGTCTTTTGATCTGACTTTTTTGAAATTTAAATCTCTCTTTTCTTTTACACTTTATTTAAACTATTTTTATAGATGAATTCATACTGCAAATATACTATATAATATACAATTTACATTTCACAATGCATATAACCTCCCTCCACCTCTCTTTTGACCAAATCCATATACAGTTCACAGATATTGGGATAAATTACTTACCCATATTATGCTATCCAAATACCTACAGAAACCCGTGCTTTTACTTCGAAAACCTCAAACCGTAAATATTTACGTTATTGCCAGGCTCTTTACGCGGATGGAGGAGTAAAATAATTGACAATAAACACATATCGTATGCCTCCAACACAGTAAAGGCGGTTTGTGCAGCAGTTGGAGCCATCATTTTTATCAATGATACAGTCGTCCCCGGAAGGCGTCGTTTGAAGCTTTGCAGTCGCTGACAGCTGTTTCGACTCGGAGAAATGGAGCATATCCGAACGCCAAAGGTAGCGTTAGCTAACATGTCTAGCTCATTGCAAATGGACGGGATACAGTCAGCAGCTCGGCCTGTCTTGTTGGGATTTGTGTAATGCTTGAGTGGGGCAGTGTTAGCCAGAAATCAATGTTTAGGCTCGATGTTCGTGGATCAGTCTAATAGCGTGATAACTAGCAGGTGTAGCCAGCAGCTTGAAGTGTCAGACGTGACGAGCATCAGTGAGCTGTTTGTTTTCCCCGTACAGCAGATATCTGGGCTCCTACCTGCACTCCATAGTGCTGATCGACTTAACGTTACACTATGAGTCGGTGCATCCGGTGTGATGGAGCAGCACTGGGTGAATCCAAGCTCCATTAAATGGCACATTGGTGGACTTAACAGACAGTACAGTGCTGACTCTGTGTCTGATAGTGTGAAGGTGTTCACACCCAGAGTGATCCCTGTAAGACTGGTGGTCCTATTCATATTTAGTCTCACAATTTTACCATCTGGACAGTTATCCTGAGCATCCAGCCAAACAGGGCAATGCTTTTAACTTGCCAAGTCAGTCACCTGACATCCAGATTACTTACTGAAGACCAGACTGAAAGAAAAAAGCTCCCAAACAAGCAAGAACTGAAGATTGCTGCAGTACAGGCCTTGCACAGCAACGCTAGAAAAGATAGTCAGTGATGTCTGTGGGTTGTAGACTTAAGACAGTGCAGCCAGATATTAAATATGATGACTTTAATTTGAAATGGTCAAATTACATTTAAAGTTGAAGTTGAAGCGATTGTGTGTTAAAAGGAGCTGCAGTTTATACACTGTTCACCCATCTGGAAGTCAGACAGCACTTTTACCTCATAGTCACAGTTCATTTCAAATCTAGAATGTCTGAGCACAAAGGCAACACACCCACAAATGTGTGTGTCTAAACACTTATGGACTGCACTGTTTATGGTTCAGGTGGCTTTCCCTTGACTTTAACCACTGAAACTTACTCTGCATAAGCTTCTGTAGCTCACAAATAGGGGACGTGCTTAAGGCCTGCACTTAATCTGTTCTAGTATGTGTATGTGTGAGGCTGTGTATGTTGAAAGGTGAGCTTCCTTTATTATGTTAGGATATGCTGGGATCAGGTGGGTGTGACTGCATGCAGACTGGGTGTGGCCCCACTGTCTCAAGTCCTCTCTGTTGTTTGTTTGCGTAAAACAGCAGAGGAAGGCTTTATTGCTTTCCAGAAATACAAACATATGTTTTCAATTTGTGTAAAAACTACTTTATATTGTTGTTAGAACATTTTGTTTTAAGTTGGATTAACTAAATAAGTTCATGCTACTTTAAAAATACTCACTTATGGAAAGTATGCAATGAATTCTCTTTGCTATGTGGGGAATATTGTGTCCAAGGTACTTTGAAACATAGCTTAGCTTGCATCATTAGTTTCCCAAAATATAAACATTCACATCATCAATTCCATCATTCCTTATGAGACTAACACAGTCATTAACTAATGCACACCCCTGACATTCACTATGCTCTAAAAAAGCCTGTCTGTGACAGAGCCGTGTCCCACTGGTTGCTGGGAGACAATCATTTCATCATATCTGAGAGCGACAGGAAAACGGAAACCAAAGAGAGGATGTCTGAGTCAACAGGAGAACCGCTAGTATGATGAATCATGGATTTAGACATTTAGCAGCGACAGCAGCACACAGTCCAAATCTAACAGTCTCAAAGCCCTCGGCCACAGAGCGTAGGTCACCAGTAACAATCGGCATACTCTGATTCTAATGGATTCTAATGCTACAAAGGGTTTGGAGAGGGATACAACACTCAAGGCTGCACATGTATTGTGTCTTGGTTACATATTACACCATCCACCATCAAGTTTATCAACAGTAGTTTCAGACAGTAATACAGACCTGTCATGTTGGGGAAGACAACTTCTTAAGGCCTGTGAAATGTTTTTAGGCATGCTAAAATATATATAATATATATATATAATGACAGTATGCATACATTAAAGACGTATATTTATCCTGGACTGGAGGTCTTCTGCTAAACCTTTTTTCAGGAAGTTATAAATGGACATTGTGACCACCAGAGCTATTAAAACCTGTTTTTTTTTTTTTTTATTATAGCTAGTGGACCACGACCTTCTTCCCATGTGAATAGTTAATGTTCTACTGTGAGCATCGTCAGTGTGAGTAAGAGTTGGGGGCATTGGAAGAACACGGGCAAGGCTATACCTCAGCAGTATATTAGAATACATTTTAAAAACGGGGAAAAAGAAAAATATAAAAAGATATAGTTGTGTTTGACTTGAGGTTCTAATAACTAGTGAACTAAAATTGTTCAGTCAGTGTTATAACTAGACTTCCCATATCCAGAAATCATTTGTTACTCTTGTTCTAATGGAACTGGCAGCTGAAAGTTAGGCCCAGGTGGTCGGGATTAGGTGGTGTGCCAGCTGGAGCCTGTGCCACTTACGGTCATTTGGTGACAAGTGTCATCCTGTTAGCAAGATTCGATCTTTCCTCTGTCCAGTATGTTCTATACACAACTTTACTCCCAGGAGAAGCATTTGAGCTTACTGCCAACTACCACCTAACTGCTGGTTAACGTTATCACCTGGTTGTGGGTTCGCAGGTGGAGCAGGTGCGACTGTTGGATCGCTTCAGCAACAAATCCACGAATGGCACACTGTACCTCACAGCTACACATCTCATCTTTGTGGAGAGCAGCTCTAACAACTCGACATCTGCCGGTCAGGAGATCTGGGTGAGTAGTTTGGGTGGTGACTGCCTCCTGCCAGTATTACAGGTGTCAATAACAGTTTTACAGCTCATTAAATAGGGGTGTAACCACAATGAATGGTTGGCTTTTCCTTGGTGAAAATGTGTAAAAACAGTCTTACCATGCTGAGAGTTGTCTACCACACTAGTGTGAGGTTTGAAGCTGAATGGGAGGACTTCTACAGTGGAGAGATGGTACAATTACAACCACACTAATTAGTGTGGGTAATTCAGGATGCTCTTTGACAATATGGACCTGTTTTTAGCCTATTATCTAACTACTATTAGTGTGTGATATATATAATTTATCACACTAGAAGGGTGCATACAGTGTAATGTTGGCAGTAGCTTCTTGCAAAATCATTGCCATTGCTCTCAGAAACCCGCATCTTCTTCACTAAATGTCCAGCTGCTTTTCTTTCTTTCTTTTTTTTTGAGCTCCTGATCCACTTTGAGACTAATGTTTCAATTGCAAATGAAACCTGTAAGTAAAAGTTCTACAGAAACTTGAGCTTCAATGTGATGCCAGTGTTGCTTCTTGATAGTCACACAAAACAGACATCAAGAGTAAGAGTAAGAGTAAGAGTGTGTGTGTGTGTGTGTGTGTGTGTGTGTGTGTGTGTGTGTGTGTGTGTGTGTGTGTGTGTGTGTGTGTGTGTGTGTTGGTTAAAAGACAAGACTGCACAAGCTTGTGTGTAGTAAGAGGAAGTTGGGTAAATGATATACAGTTGCCTCCATCTGATAGAGGATTACTGTTACAGCACTGTGAGAACTGGGTTATTGATGTCCAGCAACAACAATCAACAGCAGATCATCCTGACCTCATGGAGAGGCATGAAAGGAATATGGAGGAAATAGAAGAACTACTAGATGATGTCCAGTGCTGTTGTAATGAGCCTAGAGCAGTCCTCCTTATCCCTGGAAAATGGTGTGCAAGAGTCAATGCAATTTGAACACATGAATCTGCATAGTAAGGGGAAATATTGTTATTATTATGCTGGTTTGTGATAATGATTTCATATATTACACAACCCTATTGAATGGTTCCTACATTGTTTTTATTCTCAGAGTCCTGATGACATTTTGCACACTTGGTTCAACAGTGTATTTTGCTGTATACAGTAGCACTATACTTAAGTATCATTTTATAGGATGTTGTACAAATGCAGACTGCAGAAAAGTGGCTGGTCTGCACTGTGGAATTGTTGGCTTGGTTTAAAATGCTTTGGGCAGCAGATCCTAGGCCACGGCCTCCTCCCCACCATCCTTCCTGCTTTATGTGTGGAGAAAAGGGAACTTTTTTCTTTTTTTTTTTTCTTACATTGTTTTCCACTATGTGGTTTTTGTGAATTTGTGCCTGTTTGTTTGTTTGTTTGTG